TTCATACTCCTCTGCCAGGTCATGGGGTGGGCCCCTCTCTGTTTACGCCACTCCGAATTGGGCATGGAAAACAGTCCTCTCTTCGGCAAACGATGGTTCGGCATGCGTAAAACATGTCCCAACCAACGCAGCTTCTGGTGCTGGGTACATTCTTCAATGGAAGTACCCGTTACACAACCGAAAACACGCTTTCTAACTGCCTCCTTACTGATTCGCTGACACCAACCCACACGAGCTATGGTTTTGAGACAACGATTGTCGAACACCTGAGGAGGTCTCAGTTCCGCTGCTCGAATAGGCCAAGTCTCACAGCCATACAACAAGACAGCCCGTACTGTAGCTTGATACACACGTCCCTTCAGATTCAGGGATAAACCATTCTGAGGCCATAGGTGTCTCAAGTTAGCAAACGCGGCCCGAGCCTTGCAGATTTGCGCATTCGTCTCATCTGTCACACTGCAATCAGAACTAATACAACTTCCAAGGTACGTGAAACGCTCCACAACTTCCAGTACCTTTCCCTGGATTGTAAGGGGCGTGTTCAGTGACTGTACGTCTACAAGCATGACCTTACACTTTGTGGGTGCAAAATGCATACCAAAGGACGGGATGACTTTGGTCAGTTCATCCAAGAATACTTGCGCCTTCTCCTCCTCTTCGAACATGAGAACGATGTCGTCTGCATATTCCAGATCGACAAGGTTTTCTTCACTGGCTATTTGAACACCAGGGTTTTGGAGACCCTCCAGCGTTCGTCTCATTATTTCATCGATCACAAATTTAAATATGAATGGATAGAGTGGGCATCCCTGACGGACACTGATTTGTGTGCGGAAGCTTTTGGAGGTTTATTTTTAACGAGCTGGATCTATTAGCCAAAGTCGTTCAGCTGGAGCACCCTCTCGGTACCTAACTACCATGCCACTCGAAGGAAGCATGAGAGCTGAGATAGTATCAGGGAGCCAAAGCCTAGACAGGGGAACTCGAGAGGCGAAGGTCTGGTCCGAACCACAGACCTTCCGGTCAGTGAATTCGCGCTCTAACTACCGAGCCATCTAGCTCTGCTGGCCAAAAGATCAGATATTCCAACTTTGAACCCATCCGGGGAGTCCTAATAAGGAAAAAACCTCACATGGATTGGCTTTTCGAGATCTAACCACATTCCTACTACAGGACAGCTTTTAGTCCGGGTGTAATGATTCACTATCCGCCCTGTACGTGTCGATCGCCAGAGGGGGTAATATTACTGTTTTTTTCTTCTCAATATGACCGTTGTTCTCTACCTCAATGAATACTTGGGCAGCAGCGGGCTTTACGGCGTGCACATAAGTCAATAAACAAAGTTTTAAAACTCAATACAGAGTTCACAAAAGTCAGGATGATCCTGGGCTTTAAGCATAAACGTGCACACAAATATAATGTTTTAATTTGGCCGATGTTCGGTCACGAAAACAAAATCGGACTGAAAGAGACGAGCAGGTTGGATTGGCCTTATGAACTCATCTGCATACCAGTTTGGTTTTGACGGCGGACATACCTGGAACACAGACGAATCTTTCGAAGCGTTTTCAGTAACCTAGTCAGTAGTGCACTAAGTCTACAGAACGTCCATGTGCTTCAAGAGGATACCCGTGAGCCTCCGAACCGCCTGACTCACTTTGCAAGAGGAAACATCAAGAGAAACTTTTTTATTCGACTGAAGGTGTCTATCACATTAACATTCAGATAGCCGTTTTGGCTATTTTTGTATCCAAAAGTACACAAACAACCATTTGCAAACTAAGCCAATGTTAGTGTGACTCGGTTGAACCTCATCTGGTAACGGGTGGTTCAGAAGTTCATAACGTCATAAGTAGTTTCATCATCGTTGTGTGTTGTTTAATTCTTTTTCATCGCTAGATTAGATCAATGTTGGTTCCAGTCGAGACTAACAGAATGGTCTGTGTGCTACAAGACCAGAAATCCCTTCCATCCCAGAAATGGTCACATGAATCACTTCGTTGTTGCGACAGCGGGTGACTCACGTCATGCCTGAACCAAGCTGCGGGTGTAAGCAATTATGTGCGTACGTGACAGCAAGTGATATGGCCTTATGGCAAACATCACGCCATTCGGTCTCTTATCAGCCTTCTAATGATGTTGATGTTTGGCCAGAGGGTATCTGTGTAGCTTACATGAAGGAAAACAAAAAGTGAATGTCGACCACGAGGCAACAGACAAGATGTGTTTAACATTCAGCCACATCATTCAGAAAACAGGTACAAAACAGAACAAAGTCAAGCGTGAGAGTCCTGATTTCGATGTCAGATGAACTACAACTTTGAATGTGTTGTTGATTAACATGTTGGTTAACAGTATCCTTTATATCAGTGCCCTCAAGCTTTCCTGATGTACTTTGTATAATTGTATTGATACGTCCATTCTTCCGTGAAATGGTGTAAAAATTACAAGTCCTCATAATTTCGAAAACTGCTTAGGAGACCTTCCATTGACTCCATTCCATTGCTCGTATTCCGTGACGGACCCATGAGATGAAAATAGTTTTTAGTCCCAAGATAACAGTCTTGTGATGATAAAAGACGAATGAAACAACAACCAAAAGGCTCGCATCGCCCGTTGATTGTAACTTGGACTGACTATACTGGTATTAAACAGTCCACACCGTGGGCATAACTATTATCCTACCTCGGCACGTCAACGAACCCCTCTTGGAACACCGATTGAGGAGCTGTCACACCAAAACGGTGACTTCGAGTGATGCGCGACAACAACATGTCCAACCAAGCAAAACAGAATCGAGGCTGCGTTCTTGGGAATAGGAACCTCAACAGTAGGTACTACCCCGAGGAGTCACGATTTAACGTTTCAACTATCCTCGCTATTCGGCTAAGCAGGACGGAGCACGCCGAATCTTAGGGGTGCATGTAGTCTTGCATCAATGCCCTCATTGTAATCCAAACAACAGACGGCGCGTCGAATCGGTCGTAATGATGCAACGAGCTCAACCATTCGACAGATAGGGACACATCCCATTCGTAGTTAGGGCAGGAGAACAGGCGAATACGTGACTGCCTTAGACACTGAAATTCGTCCGCAAACCTACGAAATTTGCAGAACTTTTGAGCCTATTCGAAAAATTTCGAACATGTGCTACAACTAACCGCCCCATGCTGCTTTCTAGAGAACAGCGCAGCTACCGGCGGTTCACACGGCTAAGGAATTCAAATTAACTCGGAATTTTCACTTCGGGCGAAACTGAGAGCTTCAGTGGAGGTGGTGCAGTAAAGAATCCGAACAGCAGCACCAATCGGCTACGTGCGAGTTTATCTTTTCTCCCAGAATTTTCAGGCGCACAGGACAGTCACGTCAAAATGGACATATCGCCCCACTAGATACACGCATTCATTTACCCTGTTACCTTTGAAAACCACTACGTTGTTGGGTGCACGAGCGAGTAAAGTCGAACTTGCGCTTCAGACTTCTGTACCCGGCAGGTTCATTCAGCTATGGTTGCAGAATCGTAAATGCCAAGGTTGCCGACAGACAGCACACCACAACCGTCACTTGGTATTCCCATGTCCGGAGTAACACGCAGCCCGTGTCAGAAGGATGAAATGGACCTTACTTCCACGTCTACCTAACGAGAAGTAAAAAATTTCACTCAAGCCATGGTCATATGTCAGACCGATAACTGCTTGGTTCGTAACAATAAGGGAGAGTAAGTGACACCTGACGTAATAAATATGACGTGCATAGTGATCTGAAAGCTGCGTCACAAATCTTTCCCAGTTGGAACGCCGTGAATGGCAAACTCATAGCAATAAAAGACCACTTAACATGCAAAACGGTAAGTTAACAGCCACGAACAGCCACAACTTACAAGGTCCGGGCCATATTCGGCCAGCCCGGGAGTAACGCTGTCGCGCTTAGCGGATTTAGGGCAGGGACACCAAAAGCGAACGGCAAAGTCGGGTGCAACGCGCCTGAAGAATTGACGTTGGTTGAGGCACCACGACCCGAGTTGATGCGGGAACCACGACCTGTGGTTAAAATAACAGGAATGCATTTTTAGAAATAAATTTCCGGAAATGTAATGCTGGAGGAGAGACGTAGAGACAAACAGCATGCGCTTTTATCTATAAAAACAAACTGCATGTAAACAGTGCTGTCTGGCAAGATGACGCGTCAAAGGCGCAGTTCAATCCCGATTTCACAATGTTGTAATTTGAAGGGGTACAGCGAAGTCAACCACCAACGGCTAAACGGAAAGAATGTCTTCAAAAGGGATACAGGGAAGCTACAGATTCGTGTGAAATATTTGCGTATTAAATGCCTCACTCACCCCGGAAGTTACGCCCATCGCGGTATAGTCGAGAACGCGAAACATCCTAAGAGGAAATCGGAGAAAGAAGTTGGAAATGGACCCAAAGGTGATTTTCAACAGCATTTTAAAACCTTCAGTATTGTGAGTATGGCTCTGATGCAAAAACAAACCAACTACATGAGTAGAAATAGCTAACTGGAACATGAATGTAAGTGAACGGTTGATCACTCGCTAATCCTACCCTAGTGTCCACGGTAGGACTCATTCGACTGCATCTAACCCACTTGCTAAAGCCATGATGTAGCAACCGCAATGGCTTCGCCGTTTGTCACACAGTGAATACTCGTTTGAAAAGGTGTCAGCCATGCTTGTCCTATCATTTTCCCGTCCATACAAGATTTCCCGTTTGTCCCGTTATCTGTAAAAGTCCTCATAGCTGATTGTTCCATTATTATTCTCTTCGTCCCTTCCACCGCAAACGACCAACCATTGTTATGATTTCGCTACAATATAGTCGCCAACCTGGCGAAGCTGTCTTCAAGATTATCCCATTTACCTAGTTGCTAATTACGGGAGCACCAGACCAAGAACTTACTTTCCCTCCACCAAAACCGCATTGCGTAATACAAGCAGACGGTAAACTGTAAGCCCACCACCCATGAGGAGGAAAGAAACTAGCAGAGTAAGACGCTTCGAAAAGGGGCATGACCAGCAAAAGAAAAAACTACGTCTCTTGTGATGTTAAAATCAGAGGTGCTACAGGGTTCATGTATCTCCCCCTGGCCAAAACAAGAGTAATGAGCCAAGTTCTGTCAGATCCTGAATAAAACTGCAATGCACGGTACATAATCATCATCTACAGCTGTGCGCTGTAGCTCATGAAAGAGAGTTGCAGAGGTTAGATATACCTGCAGTTTCACAGAACAACAGCCTAAAGATTAAACCATGTTTTTCTAAGTGAACGCAGTGCTACGCAGAGAAATTCAAGTTACAAGGGGCATGACACTTGATTGATTAATGATTATTTTCTAGAAGGAAAATTCATTTTAAACAAGTGAGAAGTGTTCCTGTCGGGAGCCTCGAAAGCCAGGCGAAGAAGTCAAACAAGTCGATGAAGGGACCACAAAACAGATATAAACAAAAACAGCAGAACTTTGAAAACCGGGCAAACTTAGTCCAATGCATCAACGTGCTGAACAAACCTCTATCACGGTGTCATCTTTGACTAGCTTTGTAAAGTCATCCACATGCAAACTTGGAGGTCGGCTAGTGTTTAAGGGTCTCGACCGAAAGGGATCAAGCCGGCCAGTGCCCGAAATTGAACCAGTTGGACCGGAATTGGATGTGCCTGTGGAGCCGCCGGAGGCACCCGGCCCAGTCCGTAACATGAATCCACGTCCACGCATGGGTGCAACTGAGCGAAAGAAAGGTGGGATATTCGTGGGATAACAATAGCGTAAAAACTGGTGGCGAGTATAAAAACGAAATCAAGGAGGCGACAAAGGTGAAATCGCAGACATGCACTGGGGTTTGTTTACTAGTTCCGATGTTACACCACTATCCAACGAAGTTTTCAAACTAAAGTTCATGTGGTTAACAGACGACTAACCACCACTGCGGGCAGTTGCTGTGCCTGACAGCTTATGATCAAAATAAACTATGCATTGTCTTCTAAATGGACCGGTCACGTGGATTTGAAAAATAGAGAAACAAAAAGGCGCACCAAATTTTTTCGAAGTTCTGCCAGTCTCGATTATAGAAGTTTGTCCACGCCGACGTTTTTGATGTCGTATGGCGGTCTCGGCTGAATCACGTTGGCGACCACATTTGAGCAGTTCATCACGAATGCTGGGAGTGTTGCAGTGACCTGCGGCTAGTTCTGACAGATTGCACGTGACCAGATATGGTGCCGTGTCTGAGGTATCCCCGGGCTGTGCGAGTGAAAAACGGACGAATACACGAAACCAAAGTTAAATGTAAGTCCCTACTAAAATAATTAGGATAATCAAATAAAAAAACAGCTCAAAGTTGAGCTAAGATATCTATTAAGGTCGTTGAAGTAGACTAACTGGACAATATAAAACCTTTTCGCAAGCATCAACATCTGGAGCAGCGAAGCGACTCTGAAAGACTAGTCCACTATAAACTCCGATTGCAGAAAAGGTACGAAGGTATGAAGATACGCCTGATAGATGTTATGAGCAAAGGCATTCACTGCTCTTACCCCAAGTCAATTTACAAGACAAAAACAGGGGTAAGTTCACAACGAACATGAGTAGCTGTATCAGACATTGACACATGGCCTATGCTGAACGCTGATATAGGTTCCGATGACCGAATACGGCATTTTAGTCCACTGTTGTTGAATAAATGATCTTGAAGTACTCCTTTTGGGTTATTCTACTGGCCAAGGTCAAGCAGTTAAGAGAGTTGAGAGGGGCGAGTAAGCAGTCAAGTTAAAGTTCCTATGTTGACGTAAACACAGTGAGGAGAACATGTCATTAGGCCTGGGTCCCGGAAAATGGGCAAACGGTCGACAATACTGTTTGAGTTCATGACAGAAGTCACACACATCAAATCCTTGGTAGCTGTAATTCTACCAACCATCCACATTCAAAATGGACACCTCAGAATGTGTTTATGAGGAATAAATGTATTCTGTAACTAGTAATTAATTACTGGTATACAAGGTACCCGTTCGGTTTACAGCAACACATATATAATATAGGAAGCGGTAAAATTACTGGATCCAAAACGTCGATATAAAGTTGCCCACCATCGATTTCACTGTTCTAGCAGAGGGAAAAGTGCGAGACACCACACGGACCCCGCTAAGGGAAAATTACGGGAAATAAAGATCTGGAACATCAATGCATTTGGCCCATTCTCACATACGAGACGCGCCTTGTAAAACAGAGTACCAAAGCATTAGACTGATTACTGAGATAACGAGATAAATCATGTGCGGCATTGGAAAATAAACACGAAGGGACTCACGACATCAACAATAGACCGATTGCGGGAGAACCTGTTGTACAAACACCAGCGTGCAATGAACATACGCCGATATTCCTCCTCTGAAACTGACGCAGATGAGGACAAAAGCGATATGAAATATGGGCGGCTAGCAAATAGCTCTTCGATCGGCCGAGGTTTGATTAGTGTGCTGGAATCCAAAGCACTCTCCTCGCATGCAGGAACGTCAAACTCCTCTGACAGTAGAGATAACAGATTCTTCATCCCACTACGCAAATATTCCAAAGAAGGTTCATCATCAGCCAACATCTGTGAGAAAAAAATGGGGAAATCAGTTTACAATCGGAAGTTGCACCGGTAGTATTGAATTACAAGGTGGCGAAATAGTTTTAATCAGATTCGGGTTGCGAATTCACAGGATATAAAAGTGAAAAACGCCTGGGTGTATGCAACATTACATTTTATTGGGTTGGAAACCCTATTGTAAATATACGCTTTTCATATGCATCTTAATCTTGTGGGGTTTGTATAATGTATTGATCAAAGTGACCAACTTCTCTGCGGTTCTCCCAATCGGAAGTGTTCCATCGTCACATTACGCACCGGTTATGGGTTAAATTGTGTGTGTGTGTAAAGGGGAAGATCTCAATGATAATTCACAAGAAAATTAAACAGTGTACTGTACACAAGTTCTTTAGTAAAAAGCCTGCACATTTAGAGACGTGGGGCCACTTTCGAGGACCTTTTTTGGAAACGGCGGAACAATGAACGATCGGTTACGGGACATTTGATCACAACACGGCGCAGAAAAATAACCTTTATCTGATCAGCGGCTCGGAAATGGGAACAGTTATCGTCACTCCAAACTTGCTTGGCACTATAAATGGACGACCTGCTGCGCACCATACAGCTCCGCTCTGCGTCACAATAACACACTGATAATGTCATCTCGATGGATGATCAAACATTCGCAGCAAACCTGCCGAGCTCAGCGACCAAGCCGACCATCAACTGAATGGCCTAAGCTATAAACATTCAACTCCATAGCATTTTCCATGCTAACGAAACCTTGCAGCAACTGAATTCGAATAAATTTATGTTCATAATCAGACAGAAAAAAGAAAGAACAAATCATAAATGTGTGGGAGCTCAATCAACGCCGTCACCTCAGATAACCCGAAAATGAAGCGAATTCGAGGGGGTATTCCCCATTCACAACAAGTTAAAATATGACGAATGATCGTCATTCTCTAATTAAATACAACACACACCTTTTTAATCGGGCCTATGGTAGTAGGTAGATATGTGCAATGGAAATTGTGCACAGCGGTGTGAGTCTTGGCGGAATAGAACATGGAGCTTAAAAACTACGTACGCGTGCATCGCAAGCCATCACCGAGCATCAAGTCCACAGTTCAATAAACGATGGAACGAAGATCAGACTGGCAGGATAATAAAGACCGACACGAGAGAAAACCTCTACCCGGGAATTCGGCAAGCTTATCAGTCATTTGTCCGAAATGAATAGCGTTATCGATCATGCGTAATCCAAATTGAAAGTTTTTATAGAAAATGAAATTTACATAGCCTTCCGACCACGTCGAAATAGCAAGCTACTCGAATACCCTAGAATGATATTTCTCCTAAACAGAGAGTTCTGTGTAATGTTAACTTTTTAACTGTTCGATTAGGCAAGTTGATCATTGGACAGTAAACTCGACTGTGGCGAATGATATAACGCGCACATGATCTAGTTTAATTACCCGTGCGTAATGATTGGTTCGTTCTCACAACCAAACTACGCTTGGAAAGACTCACGCTACCAACTATTTCCTCAAAATGGGCAAAGTAGCCAGCGATTAGGACCTTGAGGATATTCAGGTATCCTGAGAACATATTCGCCTCTCGTTCTGTGATACCAGCGAGGGCTCAGAAGACATCTCCCTGAAGAGGCATCCTGTCGTGGTATACAACTCACTCCCAGTTTGCCGTTCATTCTAAGCGCTGAACTTACATTTTGTCGAACCTAAATTGACCGTGCACAACTTTGCGGAAGTGCCCATGGCTGCAACATTTCGAGTGATATAATGTCAACTACTGACATGGGTTCGAGTAGTTAGCTGAACACCCGCAGTTTTGCCGAGTGGTACGCATCGGCTGGCCGAAACCAAGTCAGGGTACGGGCGTATGCCCATTACACAATAATATGAAATGTCCTCTTTGTTGGGCCTAGTTGAACAACAGATCCAAACAACAAGGTATGATATTTAGACATGCAACTAACAACACATCACCACATGCAGCTGCTCCATCACCAAACAATGAAGTTTTTAAGGGGGGCAATGTGTATAAACTAGGCACCGTTAGAAAAGGGGGTCGTCTCGATGAGGGGACGTATAGTTGACTTCGAGACTGGGGACGATAACAGTTCGCGAAAAAATAGGGTTTTCTATACATCAAACGCAAAAACCAACCTCCAAAAGTGCATGTAAGTCTCGCACGGGTTTGCCTTCGTCTCCACCACTCGACCAACCCAGCCAATCCCTCACACGAGCACCAGATATGTGCAGTCGACGAAGTTTGTCCATCATATGGGTCATTTCTATCCCATTCGATTCGGAAGAAAAAGTAAGGGGAAGCGTGGTTCGACCGATAAGTAGGGACTGTAGTAGCGAAAGACAACCAGCAAGGGTGGCTTGACAGTCGGGATTCTCTGCGCTGAAACAATCATTTACTCGCTGGACCATGTTGGCGAACAAATGTTGCCCATCTAACTGGGCAACAGGGCTATCGAGGGCGCTGTCAAGACAAACGGGAAAGTGTTATGAATGAATAAAGTAGGATTATTGTGGTTGTACAGAAGACTAGCTCATACTACGCTGCCGCTTCCGAAGGTGTGGGGAAGCAGGAAATCGTGATCAGGAAATTAATGGGAACAGTTGTACTATACGCTGAGGAGAACCTAGTGAGTCTCCAATAGGGTGGAAATCGATGAAAACGAACACTGCGTGTTTGGTCTGTCATCGACCGTGTTCCGAATAAACAAAGCAACAGTAAAGACTCGATAAATTAACAAACAGCTCGTCAGCCAACCAACACACGACACATACCTAGAGAAAAACTATGGCCAGGTCAGTAAAATAGCTTACAAATGCAGCAAAAAAGCAGGCTGTGTACCATACGCCTAATTAGAAATAATCTGGGAACTAACAGTGCTACATATCTCAGGAGGATGGCCGATTCCACAGCTCTGATTCCCACCACTCAGTGATTTAGGACAGCGATAAAGAACACACTCACCTTTGAACCAAGAGGAAACCGGAGTCGTGCTGACTTAAAAGCAAAAGGGGTAATAGAGCGGCTGGTAGGGTGGTCATATCACGTTCTGGAGTGATGACATGCTTGACTAGTATGGTAATAAGCTCTTGACAGAAAGCATTATCCGGCAGACCTTCAACCAGTTTAACTTCATTGCAGACTTGGGGATGTCCGTCCCATAGTAGATGCTCGTCCCCACTGTTGGTAAATCCATTCAAAGCGAGACTGGGACTAACCAGTAATGCCAGGCATTTCTGAAAAGTTAGAGAGAAGCCAATTTTAGTTTCCGATAAATCCACAATAATAACCATCTAGATAGAGACTACTGAATTTTCATTTTCTATCGGTTCCAGAACTTACGCACAAATCTGGATCTGCTAGACTGAGCCCCAAAACCGTCACGGTAGTAGAAACGGAAAGAACAGAACTCACCAGCAACAACATCTGGACACGGACATATTGAGCTTTCTCCGAACAAACGGAAAGTATACTCTCGGCCAGCATTAGTAGTTGACTCTTTCGGATACGTTCCAGCTTCTGTTGGCTTTCTTCAATGGGTTTCGATCCGCGCGTGGATAAGTCACGTGGTGCGCAGCTATGTTAACAAAAAATGTTGAACGAGCTTACGAAAATGAAATTCTTGAGGTAGTAGGTCTACAAACTGCCTCAAAAAGACTGGAGTTGATCTTCGTGCGACGGTTTCTGTGTTTTCATACCACATCAACCGTCGAGCGATATTCAACACAAGATGATTAGCACCCAGTCATCTCTAATCCCATAGGTCAATTAAACACTTGCGTCTAGGAATAGTCACTATGTTGAGCCACTGACAGTTTTAGGAAAAATCGGTAAGCTAAGTACTTCGTTGTAGTATAAGAATTTTGAAAACAGCTGATGAGTCTGTATTTCCTGAAATTACCAATATTGGCCAGCTAGAAAGCGAGTGAAATGGAAGAATGCCGAACAACTTCTAAATTCTGATTAGGGCTTCCAAAAGTAGGCTATTAGGCACGCCAGTTGGAATCGAAAACGATAAGCACCTATTCGTTTTAGGAGAACAGTATATCGGTTTAAAAAACACCGGGATAAACTACTTCTTACGCATGTTTCTGTGCATTATGGGGTCTACTGAAAGTAATCTGTTTGTGTACCTGCAGGAGGTCCACAAACGAAGTTTCCTGGTCCGTAAGTTAACCTAGGTTATGGGAGCGTCCTGATGCATCCAAAATGGTAAGGCCTAATATGCAACAAATACAGGAGGACACCTACCTCTGACGCAACAAATAAAGCAAAGCGAAGCGACAAGCGGGAACCTGAAGGTTTGCATAAAGCAGGGACAAGGCTGATGCGAGTTCACTAGGATCATCCAGGTCAGTGAATTTGCACGAGCTTGGTTGCACACCGGTTGTCAGGGTCATGGAGTCGGTACTTGCAGATAATTCGACATTGATATCCGTCTCGCTACGGACGACCGAATGGAGCATTAGCCGAGCACTTGGAGTTCCTACTGTCACTGTTGTCTGTGAGTTATCGGTTGTCGCTGCGGATAAACTGGACTCGCCTATTGATGCTGATACTGTGGTGGTGCTGGTTTCCAAGCGAGCGGGATTGCTGGGGAAATTGGGGGAGAAGAACATTAATTGTTGAAAGATAAAATACCCGCACCGGAGAGACACGCACATTACAAATTTGAAAAAAGATAGTTCAAACACGATGCATCTCAGTGAAATTTCCAATGGGCACAGATAGGGGAAAAGCGAACACAAATAAAAAGCGCGAAAGAGCAAGGAAGCGCAATGTGTGCGTTCCGAGATGCCTATACTTCCAGACATTCATTCAATAAATCTGGATAGTAAATGAGAGCAAGAACACCAATGATATCGATAAGTAGCCATATCTTGCAGCGTCTCCAACCAGGCGCACTGGGGATCACGGGGTCCTCATCCCAGAAGGGGAGTAACACTGACAGCGATCAGACCTTTCTTAATCTCCTTCATACCTTTCTGCCAAGTGAAGCGTTGAGGAACTGTGTAAGAACGCTTCGAAGGCGTAAATTGGGATCCTTCTATCTCCCTACGGCTATTTCTGAGAGATCGCTTATACACGTCAGTACGCATAGAGATACACTTGAACGTCGCTGTGTTGATCTCTAGTAATACGCGTATCGCATAGTGAGTGAGACTGCTTGGTCCTTCCGAAATGGTGCCAACAAGGCGTCATTGGTGTACCCTAAGTGTGCTATTCAAGTTTGAAGCCTTAATCGGAGCACTGGTAAAAATGGGCAGCCTCGCGTTAGAGGGGACACAGTATTATCAAACTAGTCTTAACGACAACGAGTTCTGTGGGCACACGATCGGCTAGAAAGATTGCCCATAGTGGTTCTTGGTTAGAAGTCGCACGCGGCACGAAAGTCGACGAACTGTGCTATGATAGGTTGTGGAAATGTACGACGGTGGTGATTTTCTGGCGTTGACAAAAAGTTCGAGGTTCTCCTTAGAGTCTCACGAATGTGCACACCACGACTCTTCAGTTCAAGAGTCACTTTGATAGATGAGTGCGAAGACTCGTGGAATATATGGTGTGGAAGTCGCACTCAGCCCCGGAAATGAACGCGCTTTGCTGGATTGGATCCCAGTGAACAGTGGTCTTTGCGCCGTCCGGTTATCCAGTTCAATCGAGCCCAATGCCTCTCAAAATAAAAACGGTGCTTGTTCGTAGGGTAGGCTTATGCCCCAACGGGCTGCAGTTCCGACGTCAAGAAGTACACTTTCTATTGAGAGCTATGATGGCCTATTCGTCGAGCAAGAAGCTCTGACATGGTGGTTCAAGCGGTTGCCTGAACAGATTGGAATCGCATCTGAGCGGTTGGTTTGGAGTCAATGCTCAACGCACGGATAACGGAGAGCAACTACTGCAGTCATGTACTGTTCATGAACTGTTTTTGACCAGTGCGAACTTTAAGCATAAACGTTCGCATTGCGCAGCCTGGCGGCCACCAAATGCAAGTCAATCGTGGGTCACGTGGCCATCAACCACCGGTGAAGAGCCACAATTGAAGACTTCCGTTCCTATTGGGGCAAACAACTTGATTCCGGTCACGTCATGGTGCGCATACGTCTGACGGCTCGTTTCCCTTCAAGTCCTTGCAAGTCAACAAGAAGTATGCCCATCCACCATCTTCCAAAGAATACCGTAGTTCAACAATATCCATCTGAACAAGCTCAGCAACCCCTTGCAGTAATCCTACGATGCACTGCTAGCGAACACGTGGATGAAGCATGCTAAAATGTAAAACGAACTATGCTAGCGGCGTCCAGTGCCGTCTGTCCGACATCTCAGATACAATCAAATGACTACTAGATATAGTCAAGATCGCTCGCTAGTCATGGGTGATGCCACAAAATCCATACGAGCACGCAACGAGCACGACAACGCACGCAAATTCTTCAAACACCAAATAATGAAGAACCTAAGAAAGGACCGAGAGCTCTGGTGGACATCGAACGCTCGGGAGATGGAGGAGGGTTTTTCTACCGGAAACAGCCGTGCCCTATATCATCTCGAACGATCGGCTGGCAACGGTCAGTAAAACGATAAATGGAAAAGACGCCCCATTATTTCACTCACATAAATATCGAGTGACTCTAAAGTTTGGCTGGCTTACCGCAACACAGCCTATGGAGAAAGTCCATGGAGGCGAATGGAATCTAAACCTTAGTCACCTGTCGGAAGAAGAAATAAAGTACAAAGTATCCGTACTGGAACGTGAGAAGGCACCAGGACCAGGCAGTCTGTATCCATCCCCCTTGAAAGAAGGCAGAGAATCCCTGGTCCACCTAACAAAGTTAACTGGTGCAATACGGAATGAAGAAAAACTAACCGCAGAATGACACATGTCGACAGTTACTCCTATCTTTAAAAATGGTACGCGTGCACTGTGTGAATACCACCGTGACATCAGCTTGGTAGCCGCGGCATCGAAGGTGTTCCTTGATCTTATCCTTCGAAGGTGGACTGAAAACAGGGAGAGAGATCCCCAAAAACCAAGCTGCGTTTCGTCCTGCGTCGAATACACTATCACCCTGCGACAGATTCTTGGAAGGCAACACAGTTTCCTTGCTTGACTGGAAGGTTGGCTTTGACTCTGTGGACCATCAAGCACTATGACAGTGTCTATGGAGCTACACGCCAACTCACACAGATGAGTGAAGGTCTACGAGGAGCTCTTGCTGGAGTTCACCACATTAGGCAAGGCCGTCCTCCTTCACCTTCGTCACTGGTACCAGTAAAGAAGGCTCACTATAAGCCTCTAATACCTGCGGAGTAGAAGCGCTCCCGGGGCGCTGGCTCACAGACACAGAATATGCAGACGACATAACTCTTTCTGGACTTGACGCCCTCAGAATGCAAACAATATAAAATAATCTAAATAATACTCCCTCACGGTTTGGCATGCGCTTCTCATCTGCAGAACTGGGTGGGACCGATCCATAACCCCACGCTTGCGAGCGAGCCAACTGAGATAGAAAACGAATTTACCTACCTGGGCGGCTGCATCAGTACCGGTGGTACAGCGAAAGGTGATATTGCCATCAGGATTGGGAAGACTAGAGCAGCTTTCATGAACTCACTTCACCTGCGGCATAGGCGTGACATTAGCTTATGCGACAAAGCTCCAGTTTACAGTACTGCGGTACGCTACATATCATTGTACGGGTCAGAAACCTAACCACTGCGTCCGATGACGTCAACATACTTTCAGTGTTTGGCGACTGATGTCTTGGGAGCATTCCTCGAGTCTGGTGGCAACAAAGGACCAGCAATGCTGAAGTACATCGGATCGTTTTCGGAAGAAATAGCTCGCCGAGGATAGATGAACCGATCACACTCCATAGGTTGCGCTGGCTTGACATGTTGACGTACTTGTTCGAAAGGCTCCTTCCGCACAACCAGGTGAAGGGTGGAAACGAGTCAGAGTCAATGACTTGGCAGCGAAGCATGGAAGCAATTACCAGCAAACTCAGCTGCGCTGGTCATTTCCGTCCCCCGAGATGGGACACATGAATGGTTAGAGACACGGCCCAGTCGCGCCCTTAATGACACTCGTGCACCCCAGCTATTACCTTAAACTCATAGCTCCCCTTTCAATCTTCCGAAAAGTCCACTGACAACCCTGTACTTACGCATCAATTATATCAGCTACTACCTCGAACGCCTAGCTATCCAACGTACCTTCCAAATCATCGGTGGACGAAATTATGGAAGCTACAACCACTGTCCGGCAAGTACGCGGTTTTCACAGCTGATGACGACCAGAAAACAATGGTAACAGACAACCCGATTACCATCTCGAACCACATTTTCGCAGATGGAATTTAAAACAGTATTCCCAAATGAATACGTTGTACCTCACTATGGGTAGGAAGCAGAGGCATACAAGACTACCAACCTTGCTTTGTCTGAGTCTTCAGCATTCGAACCATCTGCAACAGCCGCCGAACTGGGCAGTTTGCGTTGCTCTTCGGTCAACTCATCCCAAACCTAGGACAGAAGCAAATGAACGGTTAGAGGGAGAAACAGTTTACGATATAAACATGAAAAAAAAACGATCGACTCTTCCAACAAGCGACGCCTTCCTGCTGTTATCAAAGTCAAAAGAAAACACCAGTCGGGACATTTTTTAACGATCAGTTGATCGTCCAAAAGCAAGTCTAGTTAGGAGACAAACAAGATGCAGTGCAAGCTCTGGTCACAATCTTTTTAAACGAATATTTGCAACGCAGTAATCCTCCTATCATTTCGCCAACTAAAAACAATCGGACATAAATATTGCCTATCGGTTCAGCTGATAAACGCAGATAAGGCCATTTGAGTGAAAGTTGGTTGACATGATCACTAGAGGAACTACTGTGGAGCGCCAGTGAAGGAAGTTTTCCTCCATCAAAATTTGAAACTATACCCGGTGCGTCCTTAGCTGAAAAACTGCCATTCTAAAAGGCAGTAAATATTCAGAACCTGGGAGTGGATGGATAGTTTACGGTAAGGGAATTTGGAAACGGCGAAGTTGGTAATGGCTAGAATTAATGATCGATCGATAACGGGAGCAAAACCAAGTTGATAGGGACAGTTTAGTACAGAATTATAGGTACCCTACAAGTAATGCAACCGGACACTTCCGTAATCTCATAGACATATTATAGGGAACGGAGATATTTGGTTTTTCCCAGGATGATCTCCTCTCATGGTCACGGCCGATGCTATGAAATAGACCAACTTTGAAAGGCTCACTACTGAGGGTCGTATTTTAGACGGATCCACCAAGTTGAAGGTATACCAGTTCATTAAAAGCGGACTTACGGCAAACAGAGAATCCAAACAAGATGTAGCCAAAAATGTAGCACACGGGTAACCGAGATCGGCCAAACGTGTGATTAGTTGTTGAAGAGCAGTGTAGAGTGGGTTCGACTGAGTCGGATCAGTACCACCCAACAACTCCACAAGACCTGTCAGCTCCGGAGCCAATCCAATGAGGTAAACGGACCACTGATCACGTGCCGACCGCAACTGGTTGTCATTATCAGAGGGCCAAAAACAGGAATACGGTCAGTCAGGAAGTAATGCTACGCTGAAGCAAGGTATCCAAGCAACATCATCTTGGCGAGTTCTTACCTTTTTCTGATTTGCATCATCCAAGGGCTCGATTGTGTAAATAGGGAGCGGCAAAGGCAATAGCTCAAGCAAAAGTTTCAATCCAGGAAGGTAGTATAGGGGTGCCGCGATTGTAAAGGAAATTACTTCGCGACAGACCGAAACCCACGGGGATTTTTCAATATCTAGAGATGAGAGTAAGAGGGAAAATTCGAAAAAAAGACAAAGCTTTCTGAGAATGGAAAACCTCCAAGATAACAGGATCATGATCCTAGAAGAAGAAGCAATGGCTTTGCATCCACATGGGAGATTACCCAGAAGTTACTACGGTGCTAAAGAGAGATACATCAAAAAGCTCACCTTTTACAGATAGGTTCGCCGGCATACTACCTGCTCCGTAGGCCAAGAGCCCAGCGACAGCGGTTTTCCGTAACTAGCACAAGATAGAAGAACAGAACGGACATAGTGGTTCACAAAATAACCATAACGAAGTGGTACGAGCCTGTGGAGAAGGTAATTAATAGTTAGATGGAAAAGCAAGCCTAAATAAGGGTTGATTGGCACTAAAAGTGAAGGTGTTGAATTGAACGAAAAGCGCACTGGGCGTGCCTGTGAGGATATGACGACAAAGATGCTTTCCTAAAGCTAAGATATTGCATAAAATTGACTCTGCTTGGTTTCATGGTGCAGCGCCCCAATGTTGGATAGTGAAATGTTTGCTTAAACGGTGCCACGTCATGGGAGGGGGATATAAGCTCTTCCGCAGCGCGTCTTTCGTACTAGATTAATGAGAGTTTAATTGTGTCCGGGCGTTTGCGTGAGTGCGATCGGACATTTTACATCATTTAAGGTAGAACAGCTGAATAAATAGAACTTACATTTGTCTCTGACCTTCGGTCAGAGAGAGAGAGATTAGCTGCAGTGTTCATAAGGCAAACTGTATAACATGACACCGCACAAGTAAAACTGGGTGAACCATGATGTCTGCCCTTGGCGAGCGAACTAGCACCTCAGTGACCCAGAACGGTGCTGTGGACTGTGTTCTGAAGGAAAATTCTGTGTAGCTCAAATGGTCCCCAAGGGAACAATACAGTAAGGACTTCTGGGAATTAGAATAATTGGTAAGGGATAACGAGTGAGATCGATAGATTGTTTAGTTACCGCAGAACCGACAAAAGTCGCTCGACATTGCCTTGAAAAAGGGACTGAGTGCAAAAAGGCAACGAAACAGCCGAATAGAATTAAGTATGGTGATACCAGAACTTACTCTTCTCAGCTGATTCGCTGCTGGTCCAGGAGGAGCAACAGCATAAATCGTGGTGGCATAGGCGTGGCACAATGGTCGGACGGGTGTCATGTCTCTAAAGTCCTCTTCACGTACACGTAGTATCGTAATGAGGAGTTGTGAGACCAAGTGGACTGCCGCTTCAAGCATACCAAAAACGAGGCTGATATTTGAGTTCAGTGTGCTGATACCGAGCAAATCCAACGAGCATGACGCTTGACAAACGAGAGCTTGACATTGCAGCAGAAAGTATTCACTCAGCTTCTGCAAGATGGGGCAAGAGGTACAATGAATATAACAGGAGATCGGAAAGAAGGCGAAAGGTATCAGTGGACGAACAGTGAATACAGCTATTCGGCATTGCAGTATACGGGAATATTTGACCTCGCTGAGAGCTGTCTGTTCTCAGCGGAGAGTCTGACAGGGAATACTGTTTAGAACTCCCAATAGAGTGGTCTTCTTGAAAGCTTATCGCCCGACGAGTAAGCACGGACAAATCCAGCCACCGATAGCCTGACAGATCCCAGAATCAGTTCATAAACACAGGAGAGGTTTCTCGATAGCAAATTTTATCACTGGCGTTGCGGACACATTCCACTGTTGCGTTTCATGGTAGGATAGCCCCCTGAGAAAGTTTTAGCTCGACCTAACGAAGGGATTTAGCTTTTTCACTAGAAACCGACAGATGTTGATTACACATGGATTGAAATGATAATAATATGATAATAATAATATGTTTGTAACAGCACGTCTGTAATGATACACGGACCATTAAAAACCGCGCTCATTATGATGTGCTCCTTTCGGAAGAGGAAATGAGATCAAGCTCAGCTGGGGATTTCTACCGATAGTACACTATTGTGCCAGACAACCAAATGAGAGAACTATCAGAATGTGGTTTAAAAAGATTACTTTTCGCTGTACTCACATGATTTTACATAAAAACGTCACAACAATCAGGTATAATGGTAAACAAGTTTCTTTTGCAGTGCGGCGTATACCTTGTGTTTGCTAATGTGAGCAAGATTCCCATGCAATCACAGTTAGGAAAATAAGGTCCGGATACCGCTCTGAAATTCATTACCTTACACATATTTGATTTGAAAGACGCAAATCACCTGGTTTTTTTCAAAGGCCTAACTGTCCAGTGTTTGAGGAAAATCTTTTTGGATAACAGCTGTTGTTGCCAGAGGCGATATGTCCAGCAACAAATGGATGCAGTCTCTGTATGTTCTGCATATTCTGATAGTCGCTAGCTGTTTACCATCGTTTACATAGACTTTTTAAATAAACATGCAGTCGGTTGGAAATTGCACGTAGCACCATGTTTTTTGTGAGAACGCCACAACTGTCGAAACAATACCAAGATGTATCAGGATGTCCCCACTTAATCTTTAGCCAGTTTATTGCACCAACAATAACAAACCAACGATTTTGGGAAACAGTCTCAATATTTGGTAACTTTCAGTGCAGCACTGCATGCCGAACTAGTCGTTTTGTGTAACCCAACCATAATGCTTGCATGAATTCGGCACAAAACGACTGAAGTACAAGCTATATTCCAGATGAAAGGAACTGTAGAATGACATGACACATCCGAATGTGAGGATGTACCGTGCCGACATCCGGATTTGTGCTAATGTATAAGATTATTCTTTCAGCCTCATAGACTGACGATTTAGAGAAACGTGGGCGTTTACCTGTTACATACTTCGAATATAAGGGTCTCTATGCGAACTCTAATGATTATATTGCCCGGCTGATGTCAAGTGCACAGCGACACTGATGAGGTATTTTTTCCACATGCTGCGTTTCTTCATGTACACAGGTTTCGCTAACATCATAAATCGAAACAGATACACATATTTGCTCGACCTGTAGGCCGCTTACCCCTGGAAAAGCTCGTTCGCGGTGACATTTCGAAAGAGCCACTGGTGCTGGAAACTGTGCCAATTAGGGTTTAATGGTACCTTAAACAGAATAAGACACCTATGAACCAGCAGAAAAGTGTAGCCGGACAAGATTAACCACGTTGATGAACTTATATGATTCTCTTTTGTCTGATTTCATTCTCTTTTTCAGCCCGGTAAAAGGCAAAGAACGAAAAAATACTGATTTTAGAGCCTGGAGAAAAATCCTTTTAAGCTTATTCTACGAAGAGCACCATAAGGTAGTGTCCTGGCCATGGAACTGCTTGAAATGTTTCCTTCTGTCTACGTATTTTAAATGACAGTGGACAAGTTCTGAAAGTGTGCTACACCAGGGGAATCATTGTATTGTATTTGGAGCTCGCTGTAACTTTGATAACGGCAGCCAGAAAATTGGAGGACGTACTCATAGAATAAAAATATGTCATGTTACTAACCTGCAACAGAGAAGACAGCTTGTGCAATCCGTTGGCACTGAAAAGTTCAATCAAGGCCAAGTTGCGACCCAACACCACCTGCTGTTCCGGACGGGCAGTACACGGTAGGACATCTTTACTCGGTGGTGATCCACATACATGAGCTCGGATGACGCGTAGAAGAAGCAAGCCAGCCGGTGGTAAACTACGTCCTGCTACAATCCCCTGATTGGGCAGCTGCTTTCGACCAGCGGAACTAGAAGTAATCGATCCAGCAGCATTCACCAAATCATCCGCCACCTCGAGGCCCAATAAACTGTCCAAAGCCTCTTCTAGTTCGGTTATCACCGGCTTCAACTGGTTCAGAAACCAAATGAAGGCGTCTGCAGACAGCAGTTGTGCGTCACACATTGTGATCAAATTCATTGCGGCCGGGCGCGTGGGGCAATCTCGCAGCCAACGGAGCAGAGGGGCAGCTGAGCGACTGAAAGATTCTAAGCGCGTCAGCGCGTTTAAAGCAGCGGATTCGTCCAGATGTTCTTCCCACAGATGTTCAGCTGCGTGGTAAACGAAAACGAACGCACTAGATTGGTTTGAACCATACACTTAGAAAGTGGGTTATTACCAGACAAAAACTAGGGACTTTATACCTTCGAGTGCAGATGTTAGCTGTCTGAGAGTTTTTAACTGGACTCTCTGTGTTCTTATTCAACATTCATTGTTGAATACTTAGAAAGTGGGTTATTACCTGACAAAAACTAAGGACTTTATACCTCCGAGTGCAGATGTCAGCTGTCTGAGGGTTTTTAACTGGACTCCCTGTGTTCTTATTCAACATTCATTGTTGAACTGAATGCCGTCCAAACACGACTACTTGATCACCATCACCGAAATAACCGGTACGATAGAATTCACGATAAATACGCGAAGCGTTCCATTGCTGTCATTTGGTATTTGGTACTGGACGGGATTCTGAGACCTGGCGTGAAGCTTTTTCAAAGCCAAAGTGATACAAAAGAACAACATCGTGCAGGATGGCAAATGACACTTCGGAAGGGAAGTGCGAGAGAATTCCGTTCTCTTATAGTTTATCCACTGAACGCGAGATCTAACCTGACCTGCGACACCTTATAACTGGGAAAATTCGCAATAGCGCTTTAGGAATACCTACAAAAGAGTCCAGTTTGAGCAGCCGTACACCAAACGGCCTTAAACCTCCTCGCCCTTCATGAGAATTTATTGCTGGTGCGGATCCACCAGACAAAAAATGAACTCATCGACGTAAATCTTTGGTGGTGATGAAATTTCGAAGTCAGCTTTGTACACGGTTTTTCGCATTTAAATTCCCCTACAAGTATGGTGGGAAGTATTGTACTCTTCTAATTAACGCTGAGATTTTGTGCGGATTTCATCTTGCAGTTAAACAGTAAGAACATCCATAGGGTGACAAAAACTCTCCTAGGTCAATAAAAAGAGGTCTTTGATGGGGGACATCAATCAGTTAAATCACTTGCTTGTTGCCAAAACCAGCAAAGTTAGCGATGTCTAAATTGCTTTCACTCACAGATGCACAAATAATATCTATGGGCATCAACGAAATGTAAGATGAACAGAAAAATCTCCGCAAATAAGACTAGCGGACCTGATAATGTGCTTCACTTAACCTCAAAGCACTGTCCCCACCCGCCATCTCTTTAACTGGACCCGTGGAGAGTAATATATCAAAAGAAAGAAAACTTCCTGTTGTGTCTTGCTGATACGGTTGTTCAACCCTGCATCAGTCCCTTGGCTTCCTGTTCCGCCTACTATGGTATATCAAAAGGCACGGTAGCGCTAGACAGCCCTTTGTGGAGACAAAGGAAAGTTATTACAACTGTATTTGTGGGGTAATCAGAAAACGTTCCACAAGGTCAGGATAGAATCTCAGTGAGGGGGGGAGGAGCGTCGAGTCAAAGATGCTCCATCCGGATTGGCTGGCACTCTGATCAATCAGGGCATGCTTTCGTTTGGTCCATATCCTGCACGTGACACGTTCGTCCATATGATGTGATGTTCGGTTATTAGGGACGGTTGGCCTCCGGATATCTAGCCACCGCAGTTGATGGTTCTGGGTGTTTTCCGCGACTGAAGTACCTGCCCTAGACAGCCTTTGTGGAGACAAAGGAAAGTTATTACAACTGTATTTGTGGGGTAATCAGAAAACGTTCCACAAGGTCAGGATAGAATCTCAGTGAGGGGGGGAGGAGCGTCGAATTAAAGATGCTCCATCCGGATTGGCTGGCACTCTGATCAATCAGGGCATGCTTTCGTTTGGTCCATATCCTGCACGTGACACATCCGTCCAAATGGTGTGACGTTCGGTTATTAGGGACGGCTAGCCTCCAGACACTTCCAGAATGACATCCACACCAAAGTCATCTTGTAACTCCACAAAATACCACCTTATCTCATACTTTGGTCCTGCTTGGACTGCCAATGGGTGATTGCTATCATTCCATCCTCGCTAGGTGTCTCGAAGGATATATACCCATTGGCTAACAAACTAAACGGTTCAAACACGAACGATTCTACCTGCTTAAGACACCAGACGGCCGAAAAGAAAAAGTTCTGATTTGTTTTACACAATTCAGAAGTGCTTTATATTCATTTACCTAGGTTTTGACCCTCCAAAAACTTTCTGAAACTAACATGCACTGGCTATTTGCTATTTTGATAGCAAAAGATTGACGATTTCAATCATGCGCGATGTGCCCCAGTGTACTCTTCGGTCACCTTTCGTCTTCACACTTTACATCATGACGACTCGCATATTCTAGTAAAATATATGTCCACTATAATAAAGTTGGTCTGGTCTGTTTAGCAGCCCCTGATTCCAAACTGTCCCAACAAGATGCATAGGTCTGCTCCTGGTTTCAAAGCACTGTTCTCAAGTCAGAATCGGGCAAGTGTGCATACATTACGTTTGCCCTTCCGCACGGCCTACATAAGAATGATTTACAACCGTCACTCTACCCAAAATCAATTGCTATCCCTATAGAAAGTAAAATGCACTAAATATGCCGGAGTTGAATTATTCTCTAACCTGTTCTGGCATGGTCACGCAGGGGATGGATTGCCAAAGTTCCATCGGCCGGATTCTTTGTCGAACGGCTCCTGTTTCATACATTCCTCTTTCCATAGTCAAACCCTTCATTCTTTCGGCCGCCCTACTTAAAGTGATGTACTGTACACCACTAGCTATTGTGGACTACCAAAAATTGACTTTTTTATCATCAGAGGCTAGTCCCCTCAACTAATACATCCCTCGCTGAAACCTTGACAGACTGATATATCAAAACTTGTTCGTCTCTTCTCGACAATATCATTCACAATTCCTCTCACTTTTTACACGTAGATCAGTGAAACTGCCATGTGAAGGCACCAGTAAGGGTGTAACGGTGATACTACTGATGGGGAGGCACGCGAGTAGTATGTGTTGTTCGTAGAATTTCGCTTTGCGTCTATTGAAAAAGGGAGATCTGTTGCGGAATTCGTGGAGCCACTTTGTACCATTTGCTTGGATTTGACCGACGAATCAGTGGAGTCAATGAATCTCCAGGAAAGTTCAAGAAGACTCGTTCGGGAGAAGATCGGTGTCCAGTTTTTGTAACTAAGATGCAGATTAGAGTTTCGCTTCCCTGTTCAATGGTCTGTAACCGGTTAGTTGGCATTTCCTAATAAGTAACCCCGCAGCGAAGGCCTTCTTCCTTTCAAGGGTAGCCGGAAAACTTGTGTACACCAGAAGCGCTGTTTATAACAACTTCACAGTGTCTACTCTGGCTCGACTCAAGACACCAACTTAGTCTTTTAGGTGCAAATTTTTTAGATGCTTCCACACGAGCCAGTTTGGATTAAATCATCTAAGCATGCAAACCGTACCCAATCTGGTGAATTTTTATACATATTCGGTATTGCTACCCTTTTACGAATCCGTCAAAATGCTCGCCTGAAAATTTGCCAGCTATGGCAAATAAAAGCCTCTTATAGCTGACCAGAAAACAGAGCATACAAATCATGATAGCGAAATGGAAGGGGCTAATCCACTGTGCTTGGTAAACGAACGTAATAGTATAGGCTCTGGCAGGGGACGCAGGGCCTAAGCAGACCTAATCAGAATTCAGGACAAATACCACAGCACATAAGCAGCAAACCACTGAGAAAGGGCACCGGGTAGCAGCGATTAGGAACGCTACGGATTCATCAATTATGCTAAGCAAAGAGGTCAAACTCAATCGAGCTCAAGAGTACATTCAACTACAGGGCAGGAAGACTAGCAGTCTCCGTGTGACCGTAGATCTATTCGCCGAGTTCGGCGATTTCCTTGCACACAATTGTTGCCAAGTCTATAATCTTTAAACTACGATGGGAGCTCAACGCCTACTGGCCTATTCTACGTGGATAGTCAACAAGAGTACGCATTCATGAGCAATGTAACTGAATATCAATGCGAACGTGCCTAAGGCTTTCATTCTTTCCCTGATCTCCAGTATCTTTATATCACTGATTTGTCTTCGTTCACACCTTCCCTAATCCGAGCATTCACAGCTGACACCATTTAGTGGTGTTTGTGCACTTATTTGCAATGGATAGCAACTCATAGACTTGATGAGCATTGCACTGGGGCATCAATAATGTCAAGGTTATACAACAGGGACAAGCAAACCATAGGAACTTCAACTCATTCCAAAATAAATGTATTCATACTGTTCCATGGTCACTGATATTTCACCATTCACACACGTTATCACTATCCATCTGTAACCCAGCGTTTCTCCCTGTTGACCGCAGTAATGTGTTCCGGTACACGGATATTAGCTGTTGGGATTCCCCTTTTTGCCGTTGCTAACTTTTTTGTTAACTTTTTCGACCGTTTAATGTCCGAATTCGTCCCACGCTTGAGTTTTCTTCGCAGTTCTGGGGTAGCACTCCTCCAAATGTCTGACCCGTTGGACCGGATAGAGAAGGAAGTGATGCCCCTCATCGATCACTCTATAACAACTTATCAATCATGCACTGCGGTTTTTGTTGCTGGTCACTTTGGAACCGGCTGCTGCTTCGGAATGTCTATCCTCCGCCTCAGGACCGAGCTATAATCGTCCATTTGTTACCTTCTCCATCATCCAAAACTTCATTTCAATCCACCGAGGAAGTCATTTCTTAGCCTAGACGTTTTCAGTTCAGTCACGTTAGTGTTGCAAGTTTTCTTCGCTTTACAGGTTTCTTGGTTTATGGTTGTGATCTTCCCCATAGTTTGGACGTCCTGTACAGTGAAAGGTGCTTTCTCGATCTTATCTAGGAAGTAATCAGTATAGAAAAACAGAGAAAAGGATATCCAAAATGGTTTAGCTCAAGCCAGGAAGAGGCCGGATCAGAATAACAAGAGGGTAAGTTTCAATCAAAGCTCCAAACTGAAACGTGGTTATGGGATAAACAAGCGACTTAGGTACTGCATCTATAGAATCCCAAGTTTATTTTCGGGTTTCAGTTTAGAAAGGATACTGCAATCACGACGGTTATGCAGCAAACTCCTTACTTATACAGTGTAAAAAGCTTACCCGTTACCAACTGGGCCAATCGCGGTCCATAACGGTCCAAATAGCCCATACGGTCGCTATGGCGTAACACCGTGAGAACGATTGTGTTCACCAGAACAGAGAGCTCAAGAGGATTGAATATCAGCTGGCGAAGCGTGGCTCGGATACCGCCGGCGGGGACTGGGTCACTGGGGGCACTCGGCGTGACATCTGCAGCTAAAGAAGAATTCAGAAAGTTGAAAAAACATTTTCTATGTCAGAGAATCACCGACACATCCACGGTACACCAGGCAATCATCGCAAGAGAAACGGTTGGCACCCGGTGGTGTCCATTTGGGAACGGAAATAGGAGACATACTGTCAAGTTATTCCACCAATTTTTAAACAGTCTTGGTGAACAGGTACCTGCATAGGGAATTCGAACTCATTCACTTAACGGGATTATGACAGTTAATTACAGATTTTTCTTGCAGTTTACTAACGATGTAGGATCAAGTTCGGCGAGACAGCTCAGTGCTTAGAGCACGAATTTACTGACCGGAAGGTCCATGGTCCGAACCCGACCTCCGCATCTCGACTTCTTCTATCTAGGCTTGGGCAACCTAACACTATCCCAAGCATCATGCTTCCTTCGGGTGGCATGGCAGCTGGAAACCAAAAAGATGTTACAGCAGAACGATTTGCCTATTTTGTATAGGATCAAGTTTAACTGCGCATCGGTATCTCCAGCTAACACAATATAACCATACTTAGTAACAGATATCGTTACAAAAGCCACGCACTGATTCCCTCACAGAAGCATCTCTTCGGAGGGATCGATATCATGCCCTAGGGTTGCAACAGCTGACTGTAATCCATACATGAATAACGCGGTGGCATTGACAGAGATACTTACTATTCTAAATGTTCGTGTTCAGTTATCAAGATCGTTCCGTTTATTAAAATTCGCATACTGATGGCACGAGAACATGTGAAGTTCGCCAGCAACCACTGGAAGAATAGTGTTCCGGAAGTCCCGGATAAGTACACATAAACCGGGAAAAGCGGAGAACGAAGTATACACTCCAACCTTCTGCCTCGTACGTAAAAGCGAACTTAACTAAAGACTCAACGAGAATCCTTCTGAAAATCTGCATCCTTCGTGAATCAGTTGCATATTATCTGGTCTGTGGGTCGAACACAATGTATTCGGGTCCGTAGATGTAGTAATCGTAATACTGATGAACGAATGATGATAACAATAAGAGCAATAAAGGTCAACGAAAAGCAGAACTGGATCATTATAAACAGACAAGAACGCATGTTGCCACGACTAGAGTGGCTGCGTTGCCCTCGAATAAAAGTCAACACTTGTGCAACGAGGCTTACTTTTTTCAGCGGACTCGTTTTCTTTTAGGTTATCGGAACTTTTAGCTCTGGTCGAAGTGCTGGAATTTGCTTCTGAATTAGCGAACGCTTCAACTAACATAAGAAGAGGGGAGAAATAATCGTCCATGGTAAGCACGTCGGCAACCCAAACAGGAGCAGATGAACTGATTATGGATTTGACCGTTTCCACAAGTTCCGTGTTGGTCAGTCCGAATGTTACGGAACCCAAGGAGGACGTGCATAGCCGAGCCAACCCGAACAAGGCACTCCTCAGTGTTGGTTCCAATTTGACACGATCTTCCATCGGCAGAGAAAGCTGAGACACGACTGAAAGCATACCTGTGACACCTCCAGGGAATAAAAATCACATAGGGTGGTAGGCATGGAGCAGACTGCGTGTTGCGAATAAAGATAAAATGCTAAACTCATAACAAATCAGACTACGTACCTAAAACGTTCTTAAAAATGACGGCGCAAAAAATATCGAAGATACCGCAAGATCTCCACATCGACCTACGCAACCATAGAGACCTTGCACACATGTACGAAACTCACCCTTTTTTCGTGTGCAATCTATCAACAAATCCACATAGCGAACAGTTTCCAGTTTATACGCCAATTCTAGCCCAAGAACCAGTCTGTCGACGATCATTTCTTCCAGTCCTGTTCCGTCAAGTTCTACTGAGTGAGGCTCATCCGTTAGCAGACTATGCAGAAGAAGGGTGGTTGGTTCTGGACGAGAAGCGAACAAAAGTAGACTGTTCACCTCAGAAAACATGATGGACAAAAGTCTCTCGAAGCAAGACCAGATGACCTGAGAACGATGAATGCGACAGGTAGAGCTGAACAGGTTCGGTTCGGGCGCACTGGGATAGGATGTGGTAGAAGGCTCCGTGGGCCCGGTAGTGTCCATAGGTTCCGACTGTTCGGGTTCCACACGACTGAATTTTCCAGCCAGCCAAGCCATGTCTTCTAAGAAGGAACTATCAACAGTAGTATATGAGGAATGCACTCAAACTCGGCGACAGTTCGCAGATGCGCATAAGCGCAAGGTACAGCAACAACGAGAACGTCCAAATGAACCCAAGCGCTCCGGGTCAAATCGAAATTGCCATCATCATCAACGGCGCTAATAAGCCAGTGGTAACACTAATACCTAACTTCTACATAGTCATGAAGAATGAATACTATAGTAAATACTCTACGAACCTTACCGAACACACGCAGAGCATAGCGGTAGACTAACTTTAGCTAAGCGATCCAAATAAGAATTGAAAGCATGCTGAACACCGGCACTTGTTACTCATCTAACGAACTACGCGCAATTGAGTCAAGTGAGCCCGATCCAGTAAAGCGCGCAGATCCAACGGTACCTAATTCGACTGCATTCGCTTTCACCACGTAGTCATACAGTAAGTTATTCTTCCCGAATTTTTCAACAGCATAAGGTTAGAATGAAAATAACTGATAGACGGTCGTAGAACTAAGTGATAACACTGTTTTAGTACATCTCCACCAACTGCGTTTCATTACTCAGTGCTCGCTTACGCCCCACTTCGTAAAGTATACTTGTTAACGAAATCAGGAATGACAAATGATACAGGCGTTACGCATCGGAACCCGTTCATAAACAACAGTGATAGTACGTGTGCACAATCGTAACAGGTCGTTGCACATCAAATCCTGCATGAATATGATGGGAAAAAGTGGGAGCCACCAGTTAAGTGCCCACAGAAAACCTCAAACCAATCCTCGAAAAAACGCAATAAGTCATGTAGTTCACGAGCAGATTGTGGTCAGTGGGGATCATGGTGCTGTCAGAGGATATCACGTGGTCGACTCCTAGATGAAACCCAATTAGAGCGAAAGATTCTGCGCATCGTCCTTCTAGACATGCTTCCACAGTCACATAATGATTCCAGATTAAAAGACTTGGCGGAAATCAGAACCTTCAAGATCGAAAAAAATGAGGAAAGCCATCTGAAAGCTCAGTCCCCTGACAGTTTTCTTGCGTTGGTTTATTCAAGATGGCAATTCGAGCTTTGCTGTCTTCTAGGAAGAACATGCTCGAGATAATTCACATAAACCAAGGGAACACAAATTCAGGGTTAAAGCAAAAAAAACAGCGCTTCTTAAACATGCTGAGTACGAAAAAAGACAGCATTATTGGTTACTTTAAACGCAAGATAAAAAGATGTTGGGTTGACTAAGTTCTCGCACCGATAAAAAAAAGAGTTGAATTTCGAAGCGATCATCCTCAAGGCAAAAACACCAAATATAAAAAACGTACGTGCTATCCATTAATGAACACAAATCTGGGTATGGATCGTGGCAGACTCGTTTTGCTTCTTCTAACAGTATTGGACACGGCAATCTTGTTCGCGGATTGGCCTAAAAGAGTAGAATGCAACTGAAGATTGCACAACTGAGTAGGAGTGTGAACACAGAAAACCCTGAGGCGAATTGTACATAGACGTGAAGAATGAAGATGAAAGAATTCGAGCGAGGGAAGTTCGTGGACCATAAGGATCAGGACATTGCAATAAATGGCAACAGTATTAAACTGACTGTACTCTAAATGGCTACAAATAGCTCAACAACTGGGAAGCACGGTTAATAACCGGAAGGTCAGTGGTTCAAACCAAATTGGTTTCGGTTGTTCCCGTCTAGACTTGGGCAAGCTGGCGATACCTGGGCCCTCGTGCCTCCCCGAGCTGCAAGATAGCTACGCACTAAAAGGCTACCACAGCTGAACGATTACTACTTGTTGTTATTTACCGCACTTGCCAGTCACGTGGCTAGTACATATGATGGGCTGATATCGGTTTCTGCGTTTGTCCATCAAGGCGAAATATTCCAATGATAAGAAAAGCCAAACACTATCACGTATGAAACCGTCGGAACCTCGTTTAACTTGTGAACTCAAGGAAATGGAGCAACCAACATGTCCATTTGGTGACCGTGGAGCGTGGAAAACAAATAAATCTCACGGCCTGCGCAGGTGGTAGCAAAACTGAAACCTTCGACGCACTTGGTCATCATCATAAAATCAAGATGCTAAGTGAGAAAAAAGGAACATAAAGAAGACGTACCAATATTTCTTCAGCGTTTTGAAGTATATGGGCGATTTCGCTAAGATAAGAAGCAAGCTTATGTTCCAGCTTGAACCACTCTTGGGGAGAGTCGCCTTCCAATCCAGCGTTGCGTAACCTAAAGCGGTGATGAACCGAAAAATACTGAAAAGAACACTTGAATTTTCCGCCTCCACATCGAGTACACATTACCCACAAGCAAAATCAACGTGTCTACAGTATTTTGTAACATAATCAAAGTGCGAATCAACTTAGTCATAGGATCGCAGAACACCTCTGCATGCGCAGATGTGCATTAGAAGTGTCGCCAGGTCTATGGAGATGAATGTCCTCGATATGTGGTTTACTTTAGAGTCCCAGTTACAAACGAATGACACTGTTTTGAAAGGAACTGTTTCTTGCAGGTACTAGTATACAAACGATATACAGTTCTATCAGAAGAAGATATTGATGGCCTTTGTGCAGATAACCTAAGTGGAGTACAGATAGATCTCGGTATTGTATCAGGCGACCCTCTAAAACATCTACCACAAAAGAGAGGGAGTTAGCTGCAGTCAGCAGCGAAAATCATACTCAGCGAAGAGAGCGTAAGAATGCTCCTTCTGAAGTCATTAGTTTAACCCCTGAATGGATAATCCTGTTCAAGGGGAATTCAACTTAGGTATTGTCAATTGCGTCCAACAAAACCATTGAAAGCATAGATGCTAAATCAACTTGTGAAACGTATCCCCTATGCCAATTATTTGCGATGAAATGACAGAACAAAAAAACTATTACTGCTCTTACGTCATCGACTGAAACTGTGCAGAAGGCTAGGAGCTCGAAGTTGCCAAGGGAGATTGCTCCGATAAGAAAGAGATGAGGGTAAGCAGTGTCCACCGGGTAGGGCGGATTGAGAGGACTGTCGCATGTGATCCCATCCCACATAAGTTTGTCAAGGAACGAAGCTTATCCTAGTCGCGAACCCATACTGATTTGAGTTTATTATATGAGCGAAAAGGTTTTTCTAGATTAACTCCACTAGTTTCTGCAAATCCACCGAGCTCGATTGTATATCAATTTCACTCTTATCAATTACAAGTGTACATTAAAAGCTGCGAAAAACAAAGACTTACGTCTCGATCAGTTCATGAAATTCCAGGAATAGTTCATATGCGTGGATTTTATTCAACAGACACTGGTAGGCGTGTGTGACTCGGGCGTTCTGGTATGAAGCAAAAGGGAACAGCTTTACTTCAGATGAGTAACAGAAATATTGGAATTTTGAAGTGGTTTTGGGCTGTATTTTCCAGCTGTATCCATGAGTGACTAACATAACCATTATCCAACAAACGCTGGTCTTAGGAACAGGACACGCGCGACGGTAGTGTTCCATTACACCGCCAATCGTCCAGAAGGCCCTGATCTCATCTACCTTACAGATACATTTCTACACACTTAGCCATCGGACTGTGATGGATGAGAGAGTTAAGTATCTAGGACAGTGGAGTTGAGGACAGTACACTGAGCCCTGACCGATTCATAGCGCACATAATCTCACACTAAGATGGATATATTGACTGAATCCTCCACCAAATAGGATCATGAAGTGGTGAGAATTCCAACAAAAAATGTGGACTATTAACGAAACGGGTGAGTGAAGTGGGGTGTTTTGATTGGTTAACCTAGGGACAAGGAAATACCGTTAAATCGGTTTAGATACGATCCTAAACGGTTGGGATAGCATGCTTCCCGCTCCTCCTGCGCGCATTAGGTTTTATGGCGCGATAAACTGGGTTCGAAAGTTCACATACGACAGTGGAAACGGCAGCGTCAGAGGGTGCTATAGAAGACGCACTCAGCAGAGCAAAAATCAAATGTTCTGCGGAGAAAAAAGTCAGTGAGACTACAGGCTTTTAAGAATTCACATGACATATGTAAATCGGACATATAAGAACTGATACAGTTTGAGGCAAGAGACCACGAGTAAAGTTAAGGACCAAGAATACAAGACGCACCCTGCTAGCGCTGAAAAGGAAAACCAGCCGCTGATAAGGGGTGCGATTTGTCGAGGGCACACATCCTACTGATTCGAGTTCTTGCTCGGTATCCCCCTTCTCTTTGACTATATCACCCGCTTCCGTTACTTGGTTGTTTTCCTGTGCGGCAGTCGAGGCAAGTTGGATGCCTTCAACCGTCTCTAACTGATGCGCATCTATTCTCGATTGCTGATCGGCGACATCCATCACAGTCTCTTCTGCAAGTGGCACAGTGACCTTCGACGGAGGCGAATTCCCATCCACTGCGGGTACGTGACATTCTCGTCCAAGGAAAGCATCCATACCTACCGAAAGGCGAGTTGTTTGATCCAGAGCTCGGCATATTACGAGGCGCAAGGGTGTGGTTATCAGAGGGGACTCCAAAAGATTTAGCAGCAAGTGTTGTACCTACAAAGAACAGAAGACGGTGAATGATGAGGCCTTTGGAACCACTAGTCGAACGACGCGAAAGTTCAATGAACCAGTGACGAGTGATCGAAGACAGTAAAATAGGGCAGAGGAAAGTAGAACATAACGCCTCAACAAAGTGGTATGTTGCTCTTCAAAAAAAAAGAACTCACTTGGAGGATATCGAGATGTGATTCCGTGCCCTTTACCGTAGTGGGTAGACTGGGGTAGAGGAGCGACCAAGCAACCTGTGAACAAATAGTTCCTGTGACCAATCCAGTCAATTTCACTCCAGCCATCAAATGCCGAACGATACATGCACTATTCAGTTGCCTCAAGGCAGTGGACAGATCAAGTCCTGTGTAAACCCAGATTATCAGCGTTTCGGTGACAACTGGAACAGGAGTACAAGTTGGAATATGTGGATTACATCGGTAAAAATGATGAAATCAACATGGGGAAAACGCAGAAATACAGTCGTAAGAACTAACAGGTAAAGGAAACTAACCTTGAAACGACTGTTTGTCACTTTGGTAGAGAAACGCCAAACCGGGGGCCAAATGTTGTTCTAAATTTTCCATTGCCTCCACCCAACTAGGTTTAGGAAAAAAACACCAGTAAAATACGAACAAAAAGTGTCAGAGAAACGAGTAGGTTGGTTCCACAGGCAAAACCACGCAAAAAGGAATGCCAAACAGAGGAAACCGACCACTGATGGAACAACCGACGGTTCGACAATGCTTGTAACTCAAGTTTATTTCCCACCAGGTTCCTAGCAAATCGAAAACGATTTGCTCTCGCTGGGTATGAGCAACGGGCAAGGTAGCTGTCTTCCTTGCAGAGAGCCTTAATGGGCACTGGACACCTGACTAACATCCGTGACTTCCTGTTAACGTTTTCGAATAGCAGTGGTCACAGTTCGGCTTCGGAAGGAGCAAACACATTAACTATTGAATGTGATATGTCAGTTATTTTACCTGCAAGACTCTTCACATTTGGATTGCTATCTCACGGGTCGGAACTGGTTGTGCAGTAACGCTGCTCTACTCTGAACAGGAAACATGGGCTCTCTACCTCCCGCCCCCAAAAGAACGTAGCTGTCACTCAGTTAATCTTGCGACTCAGTTGTTTGGCATTCACGCAAATCACGTGATAAAATTCTATTCCACTCGCAACCTTGACCGACAGCATGTACACTAAAAAGTTCCCACCCATTTTGTTTATGAGGCTACCATTTGCATTACGTGCCATGCTTACGACCTTCAATCACATCAGTTCAAAACGTTTTCAAGCTTGTGCAACTGTCAAACAAGAATGGCCACCCCTTTCTTCAGATTGCGCACAATAAATAGGCATGCAACATGGTCCAGCACATACACATATGCGCACAGGACAGGAAGACACCCGAATTTCATGGACAACTACGGAACACTTGTAACAGCTATACCCGTGTTCGGACTTCCACTCAGAAACTCTTACCAGTTATGCCAAACTACGACCACGGACAAACGAGGTGAAGCAGCCAGAAACTGTAGAGAAAACACCATACATGTGTCCGGGCAAAATTTAGGAGTTACCACAACGATTAGTCACCTTTTCAAACCATTTCACTTCGACATTGCATTTGTTTTACTAAGGTGCACCTAAGTATTGTAATCATCACCATTCTTAAGAAACAAACTTTGTTCTGTCCTGATTATTTAGTTAATTTCGTTGCAAGTAGAGCACTAACAAGAATCTACAATGTATTTCTCCAAAGGGTAACGCTACCTAAGCTCCTCGTTCACAGGAGCAAAGTGGCCACGTGTGACCGATCAACATACAGTGACATAAGAAATCCTCGGGAAATGCACACGAGATAGACGAAGTATCCTCCATAAGGTCTGAAACGAATCATGGCGACCGACATAAGGTAAAATTCAGCCACGCCGTTGTCGTGCAGCCTACACATGGTGGCCATTTAAAGCGCAGAAATACTGGCAGATACTCGAGAATGCATTGGAGACAGGATGAGAACAATTGAATCGATGAAAAAAACTATTGGCTAAGTTTCACAAAGACCTTATCACGACGAGATCTAAACACCACGGTACAACGTACTCTTCCTGGAGTGCGGCGTTCAAAGTTGGACCGAATCGCTGTATTAAGGATAGAAGATATTGGGCGCTAGTCGCACATACGCTTATATCACTCGGTGGTGGCGGCAAAAGTGGTGGACCATCAGCCGATGGGGCTGGAGTCATGTCCTGTGCGTCCTCATCAGGACTGGCCATTGCTTTCTCTTCCAATCGTTCCAGGTCAGTCTGTTCCGATCGTCCTAACAACCAACAATGAAACTGAAACACAAGAAGGTGAGTCTGGTTTACGATGACATCGTCGCTTTCCAGGATTAAGTTGATATGCAATCTCAGCCTATTATTTCACAGTGATTGATATCTGAGGCCCCATATTCATACAGACTGTTCGGGATTGGACGGAAAGACCAACCCTTAAAACAAGGCAATGTCAGTGTAAACTTAACGAGCTTTGTGTGGCTCATACTTGGGTTGAGTTGTGCACAAACAAACGATTGTAGGGTAAGCTCAGCAGATACCAGACACAGCAATCCTCCAAAGAGAGGCTCCTAAAGAAAGCTCCCCGTCAGGCACGTTCTATTATTTGACCCCAGCAAAGGGACTAATTCCATGATGAACAGAATGCCATGTCATAAACTCATAACATACATACCATTGAAAACCTTGGCAAGTATTTTTTATGTCGAGAGGGCACTCTACAGCATTGCCACACAGACCGATGTGCACAAGTGTCCGACAAAAGAAATCTCTAAGACATATACAAAAACTTATTGCTCCACAAGCTTCTTACTAGCGTTGTGGTGACGCGTTTCGTTCTACTATCCCAAGGTGAAAATCAACAGGCATGCATGGCCACGTGCTTGAGGTGTATTCCATTGTGTACAGGATTTCAAACCAACGGACCACAAATGACCCAAAAACATACTCACCTGAAACAAGGTCATTGTTGGATCTGGAATGCGAAGCCGTTCATTTGCCGATCCAGTTTCTCCCTTTGATGCCATTGTCCATGGATTGAAGCGCCAAAAACAGCGATTAAGGTATGGATCATTTTCCCTGAATAGGTCTGTGGAATGACGATCTTCCTGAAAACATCGAGTGAAGAAAAACAAGAGATCGGAATGACAGTCGTTAACAACACTTAAGACGAACCCAGTGGCGAAGGACCCACAGCTCAAATGGAAGACGATGACAGCATTGGCATGATTAGCACGAACAAGGTATCATCATCATCATCATTGTCAGCTGTAATAACCGCGTACTCGTCGTACTGTGGTTGTAGCTGCCGCAGTTTCGTTCACCGATGGTTTGGGGGGAGGGGTAGGTAGCTGCGCGTTGCGAGCGGGAGCTGATAAATTGGTGCATAAATCCAGCACTGTCAGTGGGCTGTCAAGTGTTGAGGGGGTTGGAAAAGGAGCTATGCATTGAAGGCAATAGCTTGAATGCATGAGCGTCATTGAGGGCGCGACTGGGCCATAACTGACAATGTCTCTAGCCATTGATGTGGCCCGTCTCGGGGTCCCCATCCAGGCAATGACCAGCGCAGCTAAGTTTGCTGGTAATGGCTTTCATACTTCGCTGCCAACAAGGTATAGTCGACCACAACGGTAAAAAGAGCGACACACCGAGCTCTATTTGGGACAGGACCATGTATAGAACAAAGCTGAAAAACGATGATAACCATGTAGTACTTACCTCCGCCAGATCGGCATCATCAGCATCGGAGAAAATTTCCTCGTTTGATGATATTTCTTCGTAATCGATATCCTAGATATGAAGCAAGAGACAGACGTGAAGGCGTTTGCCCGTATCAGGCGGAAGATACGGAACCATACAATAGCACGAACTCCTAGTTGTGTGTCGGTTCCCTGTCACTGCATGTACAATTTTTTCTTTAAGACACTGGCCTATAAGACCTCAAGGCAATGAAGTTTATGGCGCAAACTCCACACTCAGAAAATTTAAGTTTCTTCATTTCGAATCTAAAACAGAGTGGCAGTCGGTTTTGTGGATCTTGACACTGACGGACATCAAGTGTTAAGCTATGAATCGCACACATGGTGAATCATGTGTAAAGCTCAAGTGCACCAGTGGAACAAGGAATAAAAGCTCTCAGTGGCGTTTGGCAGAGCGCCGGTTCTGTGGCTCATGCTGAACGCTAAGCCGGGTATCTTCGTTCACACTACATGTAGCTGGACTTTGCATATTTAAGATTTCAATGGCCTGCCTTGAATCCAACACCCATCCAACCAGTGGCGAGAGACCTCCGTCAAACAACGGATGAGCCAATTCGAGAAATCTGTCTATACTAAAATGCAGGACAGGTAACTGACCCAAGGTAAGTGGCATTTAGCACAGAAAGCCCACCTGGATTTCCCCATCTTCATACAACCCACCACCGTCTTGTGGTTCAGATATGTCATCCTTCTTCTCCTCATCGGTAGTAAAGGGAGTATGGGGTCTCTCGTTTCGGCTGATTACAGTATCAATAGAGAGCTGTTTTGATTGACTTGGGGGTTGTTTTGGTTGGGACGATGGCTGGAACAAGAATAAGAATAAAATTTCGGAAAACGCCAACAGCACACAATACGGACACCGTCAGTTGGAGAACTGCAGCTAAATGAAAACCAACAGGTCAAGGGTGAAGTAGAACGAACATAGCCTGCCTGCACCACAAAAAGACCCATGACTTTACCTATGGAAAGCTCAAAAACTCCTAAATCCACCTGACAACAAGTGATCTCCAGTTTTGGACAAGGAGGGAATTACACAATAAATCTTCTGATGGTTTCATTGGGTGTTACGCAGCCCCAATACAGTGCACATAAAAGGCTAAAACAATACACAATCGTTCTTTTGATACAAATGCAGAAAACTTCAGACCGTTTGCTTCAACCTCGTCAAATCCAGGTGCATATCAGCTCGAACCGACCATCTCAAGCACTTCCCTGACGCTGTGACAGAAACAGGTGCACCTTCTTCGATGGATTAAATCGTACGTTAGGAACTTCCGATTAAAAGTTTTATCAATCACATGAAAATGTTCTGGCATTCTGTAAAAGTGGAAATATCTTCAAATGAGATTCCCTCCCGTCAGTGAAAAACCGAGAGGCACTGTAGAGTTGTATCTACCTTATTAGAAATCAGAAATGCGCATCTCATGAAACTCAGAGTTTCCAGCTCTTTAGCATCCGGTCGGTTGAACAATTAACCGTCTGGCCACGAGCGGCTGAACAGCGGTGTGATTAGCTCTCACCGGGACAGAATATTCGGCCTTTCTTCTTTGAATAACAATATAAATAACTGGTTTTGGGTCACGTCTATAGCACATAGTAGCACATGTGGGCAGTCTTATGGTTAAATATAGTACAGCTTACCAAATGATAATAGCACAACTCCTCGCAAAATAGAGTTATAAGCACGGAATACACAAAAGAAGCGTACACGTGAGATGACAGTCATATCCCACTCAAACAATGCAACAAAACTGGAGTTAGATGATAGTCCAATTAATTGCGGGATTGTCACAAAAACAGGAAGAACTCAGCAACGAACTGGTTTCAGCAGAAAAGTGTGAATTAAGCAGAAAGTGTAATAGCTAATGAATCCAAAACACAACAGGTAATGATTATGCAATGGTTACACACCTGAACATCAGCAGAGCTCGCTGGTGCATTAGCTGCTGATTTCACAAATATCGGAGTTTCTGTTGTCTGATAAGTGGGAACTGGCGAACAGAATGAATCATTGAATAGCCGCTGAATCTTACCTGAACTTGCAGAAGTGGTCAGTCCTAGCTGTGGAGGTGGTACAGAAAGATTGGTCTCAGGAGGGAGTGTTTGATTCAAAGATAAAGCAGGTATTCCAAATATGGCCACGGTCAAGGTCGAATAGCGGCCTCGAAACAGAAGAAAGTTAGAGTGCACCTAAAGAAAATTGAGACTGTTATACCAAGTGGATGATGACCTACCGGTTCTTTGAGGGTGATGCAGTTTATTCCGTTTTTCTCATCAAAATGATGGCTGAGAATCAGCTCTTGAGTATGCCTCACGAAGACCTACCTGATTATGTTCTGAAGGACTACACAGTTGGTCCTACTATTACTATACAATGTTACATCAAACGAGGCTGGATTTGTGGCCCTGATAACGTTTGCAGTGGTGAATAGGCCGTTTAGAGGAAACTTCAAACCTACCCAATTATAGCCTCGTCAGACAGGTTACTCTCGACAACAGAACCAAACGGGAGAATTCGAAGTTCCAATAGCTGAACTCCACTTTTGAATCTTACACAATCAGTGTTTTCCTGGTTGATGAGAATAAGGAAAAGTATGGACGAGGATGACATACCTGTGTTTGTCCATTGTGCACAAACGTATCAAAAAATACAATGTAAGGACCAGCCATTGAGAATCGATGGAAAGAGCTGAAAATAAGTACAATATCAAACCGTTATACGCTGCATGAGTATTTAGTACAAATGAGTAAATGAGAAAAGCAAAATAAAACCGTACGAGAATGACTGAGGCAAGAAGGACAGCAGCCCTGTGACAACCAGGGAGCACAAAGTTCCTCGCAGGACCGTGGAATAGCAGTTATTTCAGTTGTGATACGAGTAATACGAATTGCTGTGACTCGTACTTTACCATAAACAGTACAATACCCACACGGGAATGGGAACCAGGTACGACAAAGCCGGACACGTCGAACATGCCAAACAACTTATGCATGATAGTCTCCGGGCGAGTCAGAACCGTAGAATGTTGATAACTTCTGCCAATCTACATTGTAATCAAGCATACTTCTTTCAACCAACAACAGTTTAGAAACCACGAAAAATGGTTTAGACGGGTCAGCGTCGTGATAAACTAGGAGGAAAATGCCCTTGTAAGCATGCTTTCCAAAGCCTACGATAAACACTGAGGTTTGACAACTGACTGGACTTGCAGTATTTCGTACTCATGGGTTAGCCGGAGATGATCAAACATGTTAGGGATGGAAGAATGGTTGCTAACATCGTTCGCACATTGGGTTGTGGCCAAAAACAAATAAAAGGCAGCTGTTCTAGAGCTGTTACAAAACATATCATAACTAAGACTCGCAATAAGGAGCGAGTGAAGCACGAAATGAAACTTCATTCGCGATAGAAGTATGTATCCAGTAGGAAGGTATCGGACTGTGGTTCCTCAAAGATTGTCATGACTTTCACAGATGCCAATTCTTGGTGAGGAACCGGAGAAGTATGCATGTGAGATTATGTTTGCTACCGTTCAAGCCACCACAACTACAGGTGTGGGGATGCCTTCAGAAAAGCTACACAGGTGATTGGTTCAGGGATAGTTGACCACATGTCATGATAGGAGAGGACCGAGTGATTCGACCCCATTGCAAACATCGCGTTCTCTGATAAACACGCACGCTGTAATGCCCAGGATTCAGAACGGATAAATAGTTGCAGGTCCAGGCGGGAGTAATCGGGACGTTATAGATAGAATGTGAGCCACAGACATTTCCAGCCACGAGCGTTGCACTGAACTGTTCAGCAATCAGATCAGTTTAATCAGGCAGGCAACAGGCATGACTAAAGTGAAAATATTCAAATCCACAAAAGAAATGTATGGTACAGCTGTACAGGTATTCAAGACATGTTCAACTATTTGCAAGGGAGAAACACTGCGCAATAATTCACATGACCGAATGATCACATATCACGACCGAAGCTCATGATCAACCAAACGGCGGAGAAGATTTCGGTTGATTTCCGTCAGTTTGTCAATTTCCGCTCTGAGCTGCTTCACCTCACCCGGATCTGGTTCGTCTTCTACAATACCACTAGCCACTTCATAAAAATCATCCATGTAGATGTCGGCCCGGTGGTGAGATAAATCGTAGCGCTGTAACAAAAGTAGCAATAAAAAGAAATTAGGTGAGATGAGTAATTATCCACATAGGAAGTGGTACACTGTTTCGGCAGGTTTTCCACAGTTTCGAAGCGCAGAATATTGCTTCACAACTTCCAATCCACTCCGATCAGGTCGAATGACGTCATTGCGGAAATCAGTCGAAACACTAGATAGAATAAAATCTGTCATACACATTTGTTTGTATGTTTCCTGTAAGCGAATGGTTTAGGCGAGTTTCCACTAATTGGGTAGCGGACGGTCAACTCGTGCTCTGATTCGAGAAAACTTCGCACAACAGAATTGTGGTCACAGCAATAAAGCACTCTTACTTCGTTTGTGGAAGGGAGGCGAATTCGAACCAAGTCATCCAAATGCCATCCAAAATGGTGCTTAAGCGGTTCAATGAGACAGAATGTTTTGTTTGACGATCCTGAGCTATCTTCCGTATTGAACTTTGATTGCTCCGAATTAGTAGGTTGGCGGGGAGCCTCCAAAGACGAGAGCCAATCTGGTCGTGATGCCATACACATGCCAGTCAATTGGTGAGGATTGGAAATTTCTCCCGCGATGGTCGGATTGAGCACGGAGAATTGCTGCAAGGTTGTAAGAAGGAAATCTGTACGCAGCACTTCGACGGTTCCGCCACGACAGCCTGCGATAAGCAAGTTATGATCACCCGGGGAGAGTACGAGGGCGATGATAGTTTTCTGCGCAGGCTGCAATCTACAATTTTGATGAAAAAAAAGAGGGCAGGTGAATAAGCACAAAAAACGATCAATAGAAAGGACATCGCAAAGTAGGGATGAGAAACGTGACGCTGTGTTGCTCCCAACGGCGTGGGACAAACGCGGGTTGAGTAGAATTGAGTTTACCAAAGGTTGGTAAGACATCAGAGTTTGATTTTGAACCAATTCTCTCGGAGCAAAAATAACAACAATCCAAACATCAAATATAAAAAGTAGGAGAGATGAAGTGTGGCATAAGAACTAGTCAGAGAGATCACTTACTTTGAACTGACGAAACATCGACGGACTTCCTTATTCGGTACTAGGATGCGCTGTGAAAAGGTTGATAAAATGTAACAGAAAAGAGCAAACCCAGGGTTGTTTTAAAAGATCACTCCTCTCAGAAGGACTTCCTTGTACTAGGATGCGCTGTGAAAAGGTTGATAAAATGTAACAGAAAAGAGCAAACCCAGGGTTGTTTTAAAAGATCACTCCTCTCAGAATACGTTGCGAAAACAGTAATCGAAGTAGATACTCTGGATGGAAGAATTTTACACAACGAATTCCAGAACTGTAAATATGGCGAGAATTCCTAAAGAAAAAAACTACAGAGGAAATCCAGAGGCTGCGTCCAACATTTGTGCATGCAGTCGCAAGTGCAGCAAAAGATCAAGGAATTGTCGCACATGCCTGACTTCGGAGTACTCATTCCGCCGCTACCCTAGAGACAAACCGATAGCTTTCCGACTACGTCCTCGTTTTCCTGTTTTTATTTCAGCCTTTAGCGTTAGAACTCTTTTGAAGATCGGTCAATGACCTGCTATTGGGGGTACTCCTTATGCTCTATCGATGGACGCCTGCCGTATTCCTGAAACACGAATACAGGACCCAAGCACAGTTGTTGAGCTTACGGCACCTTTTCCATCTAGACGCTACAGGCCACATGTGGTCTTAAAGCTGTTGCAGCAACTGTCCCAACCATAGAATTATGGGTCTCACGCATGTCGTAACAACGGCTACTGGCTTCTCTTATATTGCAATGCTTATTTTCGGCATACGAGTCCTGGAACACAGAGTGCGTTGATCATATCTTTACATTACGTCACGTCATTGGGTAGCGCCACGTATACCGTCGACTGACAATATTGGTTTTCCTAGACTCTGAAGGAGCTTTCGATTAGTGGATACGTTTGTTCTCCTATTCTTGACCAGAAGCCTCCTAACAACCAGTGGAGTTAGCGATTCGCAGACTAATTTTGGTTTTTGCGAGAGACTCACCTGGACACAGCTGAATTTCTCGTTTGTATGTTTCCAGGGAACTGCGACTCCTGATGAGCCTCGAGAAGGGCGAAACCGGTCGTGGGCTGTCGAAGAATTTTCAGCAACCTCATGGGTAGTGCATTAGGAACTAGTGGAGTTCTTCAGGGTCATTCTCTTCCCTTTTTCGTCCAATTTCGCACAACAAATGTATACAAACCAACTGTAGTAGTGGTTTACTCTATGGTTGCGTAACCTCGCCCCCTTGGTTAGAGGACCTTAGGCGTCTTCAACATTTGATCACTGATGCTTCTGTAGCAAAGTATGCTAGTTGGCTGCAACATGCAATTATACGGTGGGTAAGCGGGCACTTGGTAACGAATCAGAATCGTTAAGGCAGCATTCGTTGAGCCTACCGGAAGTATACAAAAGAATGATTTGTTTTCCGTCCCAACCGATCGTTGTCAAAAGGTTCGTGAATAATAGGCTTTGACATGGAAACGTAAATAAAGGCGATTACAACCACGCTTAGTGTTCTGGAATTTCCGCTTCTTCCCGACTAGGGTCCATGTGATCCTGCTTTCAAGTGGCTGGAAACTCTGCAGGAAATGGCAAGCAGCCGGTCCCAGAATTCCGCATGCTGGGACTTCCTAGCCGAACTGTCTAGGCGAAGTTCGCCTGTTGTTTTGCGCTGAACTTAGGTCAGATGAGGTTTGCAAAGAACGCCGGGTCAATCCCACTTATGAAGCCCTACTGCGACATCCTTGTCAGGTGTATTTATTTTAACGCCGTCCAAAGGTCTAGATACCGTATCCTGGATCGTTTTTCTTAATAACTCCTTAATAAGCATCTGCCCTTCTCCTTTGTCTTCACCTTCATGATTTTGCGGCGGTTAGGTACTGATATATTGTCAATGATGATAATGATGATCAGCATCACTTTAGGGGGAGATTACGAAGACAAGCCTCACTAGACGCTAAAAAGTCACGAACTACGGTTTTGGAACTGGATGTCTTTCCTGATACCAGAGTAGAGTAAGCTATGTGCTAACCTGAAGTCGTTAGGCGTATGCCGTTACTGAAGCTATTGGTTGTCTATCCAACAAGGTTAATCATAGTGCAGTACTGAGCAGCCGTTTTTATAAGGCTGAGGTGGTGGCAACACAAAACTCTTAACAGGAGTTAGATAACACTAAGGACACCTAGCTGTCGTTGCAGCGAATGCTACCCGGTTTCCATAGCTACTCATCAGTCATCGTCATAACCTCTCGCTCGCCGCTTGCCATTTGCCACACTGTCATAAGGAATGTAGTCCAGCGGAGTCCATTGGCTATGAAGTGTGCAACAAAGACTGTCGAAGCAATATGGTGTGAGGACAGTAGCGGACTAAAGGCAGCAGCTTCCACAAGTTCAATGTAGCCACTGTTGGCGGCCGACAGACGTCTATCAGTGTCTTCACCAACGACCCCGCTGAGTTGACGACTTTCTGGCGGACACAACGATCGTATCATTCAGCTCATTCATATCGATGTATGGATGACTGGGTTTTTGCCACTATGAAATGCACTACATCGCAGAAGAACTATACACACGTTGTTCGAAAGGTGAAGTACAGGCTCATCGATTAGGTAATTTGATCACAGTGACATTTCGCACCCGTTAGCCGTAGAGATTGGTTACGTCATAATTTGTAGATACAGACAAATGTGGTCACTAAGATTCATCTTCGCTACGGATATCCCGCGCCTTAACCACCGAGCTGTCTTGAGCTCAAGATTACAGGAGACAAACAATGGTGCACAAATTTCCATAAAAACCCTGTGGAAAACTAAATAGACATAGCTTTCTGGTATCCCTCAGTTTTCAGAAGACTGTTTAGTATGAGTTTACTCAAAACTGTCGATGCTGAAAGAGATTACCAATCGAAGGACTCTCAGCATATGTATCAAATACACTCAAAGATATCAAAAGAAAGCAAACCTGAAGAGCTCGGCAACCCAATGAACAAAGTAGCCCTGTGTTTAAAGAACTCAACCCTTGACAGTGCGATTCCGTGCTAAGTTTTCTTTCACGAACAAATCTGATTCAGGTTTATCAGTTCGGACCAAAACGACTACCACTGCTTTATATCCTGTTGTACCTACAAGCTGAAGTCATTCAGGACAGTGCACCTCCCTTCCAAATTCGTAAGCGTACTTATTTTTTTCTTCGAAGCTGTTTAAGGTACAAGAATCTAGCAAATTCATTGCGAAAGGACAAGTTTTTCTATGTGTTAGATTGGTAATCTAAATTTAAGTTTGTACTGTAGAAGCCGAAATTGAACGAAGTGTTTCGTGTGGCGGACATGAGTCCAGTTGAGGACAAAGGAGCCACAGTGCAACACTAACTTCACCGCACCGCGTTTATAGGCAAATCTGTGCGGCAAGCTACAAGGTGCTGGGAAGGAGCTTGTGGTCATACAAACTATGAGAGTCGACAAATGTGATGAAGCTGTACGCTACTCCTGGTTGGTTGATGAAAGAAACAAAGGAGACCCGAAAGAATTAAAGACGGGAGTGACCAATAGGGTAGGGCAGGACGATTATCCACGGTATAGGATACAAAAGTAGACTTCGCTCGAGATTCCATCCAACGCATTTGACTAAACTTACGAGGCAATAAAAAAATCGTTCAGCAGTAGCATCTTTTTGGTACCTAGCTGCCATGCCACACGAAGGAGGCACGAGGGATGGGATACTGTCAGGTTGCCCAAGCCTAGACAGGGGAAGTCGAGAGGCAGAGGTCGGGTTCGAACCACGGACCTTCTGGTCAGTAAATTCGCGCTCTAATCACTTGTTCCATCTCGCCCCCTACGAGGCAATAAACAAAACAATGAAGGGGATTCTGTCGAACTTGAGAAAAATTTGCGTTCACACGATATTATCAAATACTCATTCAAACAATACTGCTGAAATAACTCGAGCAGACAGACTCCGGTCTGAGTGAACCTGTCTCCAAGTCCATGATCCAGCTGTCAACTGTTTTAAGAAGTAGCTTTCAAACGGGCATCCCAATCATTGTTTAAGCACGATACCTGAGCAGCTACCAATCAGGCATTGTGTGACACCTTATGTCAAAAAAACAGGCGTGACTCGTCAACCGGGGTTTCGTTCAACAAGAGAATTTACTCTATGCCTCACTTTGTACTGAAATATTGTACAATAGTTTCTCATCAGCAATGCAATGAAAAACCCACTAATCCCTAGGGAGCTTCAAACCCGTAACCTCGTGACCGGCAGATGAAAACTAAACCGTTCAGCATAGGTTGACTTCACTTACAAGACGAAATCTAGACTGAAATTTTCAAGTACCTCCACATTGTCAGTAAGCCGCAACTTCCGCGAAAATCCGCATGGCATTGACAGATAAAACAGGAGACATTTTCGACACACGGTAAAAAAAATGACCAGTGATGACAGACATTCCGAAAAATTCTGCAACTCGCAGTACTAAACTAAGCCACTGATTAGGACTTGGGTTACCACGAAAACCCTATAATAACAGTTAGTCCAGTAAAGTTTCAGGTGAAGTAGAAGACAAAATACAGTATAAAGATGACAGAACTAAAGCTAGCTGACCACTTTTGTGGATGAAAACCAAGAGGCGACGTCAAGTCAGAGGGCACAAGCATCGATTAACTGATATTTTTATCATTATTCTTATTATTTAAGCTGCTATCTCACCTTGGTGTGGTCCAAACTACATGTATACAGCAGACCTTCAGTTCCACCGGAGATGATTCTACCATCAATGGCTGGCAAATGACACAGACTATGCAGTCCTCCAACAACGCTAGTCAATGCAACAGAGATGACAGTACCGTCCAGGGCATCCAGCATCTAATCAGAGAGCAAAACGGGCGAACTGTATCACTAGCAGTAGTAGAAAAAGAGAACAACGTGTTCATAAACCTACGTAGAGCACCACAAACATAGCTACGAGGTCAATTTAAGTGTATTCGAGACAATGACAGTCGCCCCTTCAAGAGGGACGATTGGAATAGGTCCCCATTAGTAGATATACATAGTTGGCGCAAACCAACCAAACCAAGAGTTTGGTTGTATAATAATTAATAATAATAATAAATAGTAATCATTCGGCCGTAATACCCTTCCGGTATTTAGCTGCCATGTCACCTGGCTGAAATACTTCCAGGTTGCCCAAGCTTAGAAAGGAACAGTCGAGATGCTCAAGTTAGGTTCGAACCACGGACCTCCCGGTCAATAAGTTCGCACCATGACCACTGGGCTATCTCGAGCCCTATTATGGGTAGTAGGACATCGAAAAGCGGTGCAACCGATTCACACTTGATCAGCACACAGCAAAGCGTAGACACCACCGAATCTTTTCCGGCCATTCACAGAAAGCAGTAACATCGACCAGAATCGTTACGAAACTGCATTCTGCCCAAGCCCGAGACGATCGCTATCAGACTGCCTGATCCTATCCTGTTTCATAAGAAGACTTGTGGTTTGTTCGCTGAGCTGGGTAATGTGGTTGCAAAAGTTTCATCACCAATCGAGGTGACATAATCAGTGCGTTGTTAGAGAGCGCAGTGGGGCGTACCGATAGCACAACTACCGACCGATTGCCACGTTCCAATACGCTCCCTAACAACGTACTGATGATGTCACCTGGACTGGTGCTGAAACGTTTGCAATCAAATTGCCTAGCTCAGCGAACAAACCAACGACCATCTATGCTACTTGAGCTACCAACATTCTCCACTATAGCAAAGAGAGCTTCGTACCTGACCTTCAGATCCAGCCAACCCATTACTCACCACAGTCTAGTTGTTTGACCTAGTTCTGACAAATAGCAGTTTGAAATTTTTCCATCATCACTTGGTATCTGTCTATGCGCCTGGATGTTACAACTTCTATCGCGCATGACCTGAAGAGAAATTACCGAAGCCAAATCCTCGCAAACCTCTGTATTTCTGTGGCTAACTGGGAATTTTTAGTAACTTGAACTTTTATTGTTGCGTTATAGAACACTCTTTAGGACCAGTTTCAAAAGACCGAACAAGTGACCGGAAATCTGCCATTAGATTTGTCTGTGATTGGTCCGTTGTCTGGCTAAAACACTGTACAAGCTTGCGAAATTGTAGGGAATAAAGAACGGGTGGAAAACAAACCGTAGCCAACTTCGCATTCAAAGAAACCGAACACATACCTTTAATCCTTCTGACCCGGCAACAAGCAGGTTCTGTTGCATGAATTCGATATAAGGTAATCCCTGGCTCGCTTGGATGAGATACCATAAAGGAGTATTTTTGGTATCTGGATTGGTAAAATTCAGACCATTATCTCCATCCGGTGAAGTCTCAATTGTGGTCACCAAACCTGGATTTTCCATCAGGCGATCAAGAATTGGTAAAATCAGACCATTAACTCCATCCGGTGAAGTCTCAATTGTGGTCACCAAACCTGGATTTTCCATCAGGCGATCAAGAGACCAGGTGGCCATAAATCCTGAGACGTCAGCCGTCACCAGAAGTGAAGGAGTGGAAAAGCAAGAGGAAAGTTTGATCTGTCCAATTTTCGCAGAATGACATCCATCGAGTACAGCAACCAAACAGCCGCTGCTGGTCTAAAAATACGTTCAGCTGGGCACAACACCGCCTACTTGATAGACGTATACGTCACGCTCCAGAGCAGTAAACATGTATTCGTTATCCGGGGTAAATGTAATTACACTAACTGGGCCCTTTGTGAGTATTCGTTTGTAAACAGTAGTCTACCGAGTCAAAATAGTTATAACTGTTATTACCGCAGTCTGAAAATTCCACACCTGGATGAAGGGTTTTTTGACGGCAGCACACACAACAGCTCCATTAAAAACGGTCAGTGATTCACGAGGAGCAGGTTCTCCAGAGAACGCCACCACTGGAGAGCCACCAAGTGGGTCCCAAGCAACCACCGAATCTGGCTGCTTTTCGTTCGTCGTAGTCAACAGGATGGGAGTCATTGGAACTTATGGAATTATGAACGAACCAGTAGTTCTCTAAAAAGGATAACCACGGACATGCTGACAAATTTTGGTACACCTTTACTGGATGGTATGAAAAAACATACAGGAATAGCAAGGTGTGTTTTGAATATTTTGGCACCCCGTGTTTTGGGTCAAACATGAGGTACTACAAGAAACAAGATGTAGTGACGCAACAGAACAAGGAAACAACCGTCTATTGGAGCACCTTCTTGTTCTCAACTTAGTCTAGACAGTCTAGGCCTTTGGATTACGCTGGTGAAAGCACATTGGCCATGCGTCCCAGTGGCATTCGGTGGTAGAAGAGTATAATGGTGTCCACGAACTAAGAGAAGGCTTAAGCTCACGGGCCACGGTTCACACTGAGCAGGTCATACGAAAAACATAAGCAACATAAACAACCAACTAAGCTGTCGAAAAAAGTTCCGCTCAGAAGTCAATACATTTATTATATTATTACTATGTCACATTGGACTTCCATTATTTTGCGCGATTTGGGTGAAGAGGAATGGCACGGGCCCTCTATGCGAGCTACTTCTATTCTGTATCAGGGTAGGTCAGTATCCAGCAGGATACCCCGGAAGCATGGTGTAGTGAAAGTTACGTTTTACTGCTATTTCCATTAATTCACTTTCACTTGTCATTTCAGCCTATACTGTGCTTATATGTTGAATAAAGCCTATCCTTAGGCGAAGTCTTCTCATTCTACTCAACGGATCAATAATCGATTAACTAAGTCATCGACTCCCACTACACATGGGGCCGATGATCATTGCCGCGGTAGCCCCAGAGGTGTCAGTCAGGTCGCGATTTGAATGGGACTGAAGTGAGAAGAAACTGGGGCGAAGTTCAATTCGGGTAGCGCGGATTGTTAACCTGTCCGGATGCTGAGCTCCGCCTGTTGGAGTTGCCTTCGAACTGGGTCCATTGCCATTTCGTTATGCATACATTTTCTTTCCCGCTCCAGTTACCACTACTGAGCTATGCATTGAATAGGGCCTGTTCGTGTTCGTCCGCGGCTAGCATACGTAGGTTCGTAGCACTTTGTTCCTAAATGAGAGGTTACTTCCGCTGCACATCTTTGCTCTCTTTCAAAGTTGTCCAGTTAACTCACGGTGCAGGGATAAGTAGCACGGCCCACGAACTCCAGTATCGGAAGGGCCTCAATTGTTGGGATGCCCCAGTCTAAGAATTACCCCACCCCCAGACACACCTTTCTCGTATGACTGTGCATTTCGAGATATGGACTTCAAGTATTAGTCTCACATAGCTCGCGTTACAAATAGTGAACGGGAACCTACAATGTCCACGGAATCTAAGCAGCTCTGAGAATTATCGCAATGGCAACAAAAGCCGTTTGCGGAGGCACAAATGAAGCTCCTGAGTCACTGGCTCAGAGACTGCATATCCAGGCACCAGCAACAAGTAGCTGTGGGTTTTCTGCTTCTCCAGCCTCAATCATAGAATTCACATTCGACCCCCTTTCTGGGCACACTCATGACTCATGGTTCAATTGGTACGAAGATATGTTCGAAACTGTTTTTCCAAGTTTAACGCCCGATGGGAAGTCAGAATATTGCTGCAAAAACTCGGAGCTTGAACGAAATACGAACTTCATTCGCCCCAAGCTGCCCTGCGCCATCAGCTTTGATGAAACGATCAGAATACTGTCGCAGATAATCGATAATAAAAAATCACTGCTTCTGTGGGGTAAAATTAAGTTGACTAAAGCGACTAACTACTCCATAACCTTCAACTACTCAACAGCACAAGCCAAACCTATCTGGCTTTATACCCCAAGCTTGATTCTGTGGGAGTGGATTGGATCGATAAGCTGAATCTACTGGAAAAGCCTATTGATCCTATTTGTAATCTCGAGCACGCAGTACCCGGTGACCTCGAATTAACTCATTTTAAGAAGCGTTCAATTATGGACTTCTCGCAACGCCAAACATCCGTATTCACCGAAAGGATGAACGGTGCACAAAAACGAAAGCTAGACTGAGCCTCACCCTTCCCCCGATGCCAGACTAGTCTTTTTTAAAGGGACTGCCCCCAAACAAGAAAATCCACCTAGCTAATAATTCCTTTTGTAAACGGAAACCTAATTTTTGGATTTCAGCCTCTTATTGACATTTTAATGTTCTGGTACAGATGATTCCGTATCACGGAACAGTACAACTTCCTCAAGTTGTCGGCCTTCTCGATTCTGGTTTGCTGACAAGTCTAACTTATACATCTTTAGGGACCATAACAAGGTTCCAGGCTGGAACAACCAGCACAGATGCACACTAGCCCATTGTTGACCAGGAATTGGACCGACCACAGAAGGCGGGTGTTCTCCAACCGACCAACTACTCAGCATGGGCCACATCAACCATAATGGCAAAGACGGATAACGGGGCCATCCGCTTGCGTTCAGAGTTCCCCACCGGTTTCACAGCTGTACAGAATACCCATCAGTACCCTCTACCGCTTCCAAACTAGTTCGTAAAACTGAACGAGGGCAAATGTTTCTCGAAGATTGATTTGGCCGAGGCTGAAGTCAGGGAGGGATCTCGAACTGTCAGTCTGTTGGTCTGTACCCGTATACCCAACTGTCGTTTGGTGTCAAGAGAGCGCCAGTCATATTTCGACTGATCACAGATACCATACTGAAAAATGCTCCCGGCCTTGTCGCCTATTTGGATGATCACATCGTCGTTGGACCGAAATCCGGCTCCTTGATCACGTGCCTGGTCGTGCTCAGGAGTACAGCTTCAAAAAGCTAGAAAGTCAGAAAAACGCACTTTCATGCGGTCAATAGGTTTTCGGTTTCATCATTGATGATCACAGCCGCCGACCAGACCCGGAGAAAATCGGCACCATCAAACTCACACCAACACCCAAAGAAGTGACGTTCCTCAGCTCCTTCCTCGGTCTCGTCAGTCACTACAGCTCACCTCTGCCTGCCATGCATCGCCTTCGAGACCCATTGAACCAGCTGCTCACCAAGGAACATAAGTGCATATGGTCAGCAGAAGACCAAAGCGCCAAATCGTGCTGAATTCCGATTCGCTTTTCACTCACTGTGATCCATCACTGGAAATCACTGTGATATCGGATGCTTCGAACTATGGAATCGGAGCAGCGACTTCGCATGCATTCCCGGACAGCAACCAGAAAGCCATTGCGCATGCTGCTAGATTTCTGACACCAGCCGAGTCATACACCTACAGCCATACGGAAAGGGAAGCTTTTGAGATCGTGTTATCAAAAATGTTAACAAAATGCTCTACGGTCGTCAGTACATCCTACTGACAAACCACAAGTCGCCCCTCACTCTGTTTGTTCCGAAGAGGATTCTGGTATATACCGCCAAACGCCTCCAGCGTCATTCATCCGAACTGAAGGTTCCACTTTGAAGTTGCGGTCGGAGTTGAAGGTGCAATGATCCTGCGGACTACCCTAGCTGGGGCTTACTTCCAAAAGGTGTGAACATGCCAGGAAGGCCAAAGAGGAGCAGTCAGACCAAAAGCAGCGAGACCTCGTACTACGAATAATCATGCTACGAGGTGTTCTGGAGGTAAAGCCGTGGCCTTCTGCGATATAAGTGTTAAGGCTGTGAGGTGTTTTCCCCAGGTGACCAGCACGGCCATTTTCATTGAAGCAGAATCGCTGCTTTCCCGAGGACTCCCATAACCCAAAAGTTGACTGTGACCATCTGGTGTTGCCTAAAAAGGCACCTTCTGTGCACAGCTGCATTAGAAGTAAGGCGATAATGCCTTACTCTTAGTGTTCTCGGGCCAGGCCGACTCTCTGCAGCTAAGTGGGTCAGACTATTGGTTCCGCAAAAGGTCCCCCCAAGAAAACCTTAACAACCGCTGCCTCGCGGTTCACACATCTGAGTCAGAGGCTAGGGGAAGGGTTCCCGAACAAAACCCTACATCCCTTTGAGTCAAAGTTCCAAGGTGGGGCACATCAACCAAACCCTTTCCTCGGCCTAGGAAACCACGAATTATCAATATTCCACGCATTTCTTTTTTTCACAAACGTACTTCCCCAAACCATTCCTACTATACGAGCAATTGTTGATGGGTCATTTGACGGTCAGTTATCTGACCAATGAGCCTTATGCACGCCACTGCCTACTAACAATACACAAAATCTACGAGACGCATTCTGCATAGGAGTTTTTAAAGTCCGTGCTCTATGTCACATTGGTAAACAAACAATGCTCGCTGATCTTGCACTCCAATCAAATTGATGTATGTCGTCTCCGAAAAGCGCGTACAAGACAAAAGCGTGGTCATGAGCCTCAGAACGCCAAGGACGAGCTCAGCTCTTCCACACTATCACCCCCGTGTGCCAGATGACCAAGAAGCGATGACTAGTGGAATATATGGTGTGGGAGTCGCACTCAGCCCTGGAAATGAACGCGCTTTGCTGGACTGGATCCCAGTGAACAGTGGTCTCAGTGGTCTTTGCGCCGTCCGGTTATCCAGTTCAATCGAGCCCAATGCCTCTCAAAATAAAAACGGTGCTTGTTCGTAGGGTAGGCTTATGCCCCAACGGGCTGCAGTTCCGACGTCAAGAAGTACACTTTCTATTGAGAGCTATGATAGCCTATTCGTCGAGCAAGAAGCTCTGACATGGTGGTTCAAGCGGTTGCCTGAACAGATTGGAATCGCATCTGAGCGGTTGGTTTGGAGTCAATGCTCAACGCACGGATAACGGAGAGCAACTACTGCAGTCATGTACTGTTCATGAACTGTTTTTGACCAGTGCGAACTTTAAGCATAAACGTTCGAATCGCGCAGCCTGGCGGCCACCAAATGCAAGTCAATCGTGGGTCACCTAGCCATCACCCACCGGTGAAGAGCCACAATTGAGGACTTCCGTTACTATTGGGGCAAACAACTTGATTCCGGTCACGTCATGGTGCGCATACGTCTGACGGCTTGTTTCCCTTCAAGTCCTTGCAAGTCAACAAGAAGTAT